AAAGGTATAGTTTTGGTCCCAAATAGAATTTAGTATCATACATGACAACAAAGAAAGAAAGAATTATATACGAATGTTGTTAAGTATGAATTAAATTATTTATATATAGCAAGATAATATATTGTTCAAGAACTAAATAATATAATTTATCATAGAATTGTTCATACCCGATCACTTGGTGCTCTTACAACACATATTTTATAAGGATGTCAAAATGATGAATTTCTCTTGGGGTTTCTTTTTATCAATATTCGAAACACTTAAGGAAAATAAGCGCATCAATATTTTTATCTAAATATTTTTATAATTTGTACTGCTATTCCTAAAAGTATTATACCTATAGGTAAGCATGTTTGGACTCAAATTAACATGTTTTAGCCTTTACACTATTAGACGTAACAACGTGTGTTCGCCTTATATCAAAGATGAGAGCTGTATGAGACAATAAAATCGATATTAGGATAACATTATATTTTTTTTGTGATTTCAACGTGTCATACTCTGTTGATATGGCTTTTTATTATTAATGTACAAATCAAATCAAATACAATCACTTACTTAATCTTCGATTGTATCAGTAAAATTGATAGGTTATGATTTAGAATAGGCTTAAATCATTTACAACATCAAACTCTCTCACAGAAATGACACTGAATTTAACTAAAATTGCGTATTCAAGTCTCAGCTATAACGAACGTGTTGGAGTGAACAGTAAAACTATTACAAAATGTACTTGACAAGATGAACATAATGGTATGAATTTCGGGGTCAATCGACCTTATGAGTTTCGAAGTTTTCCAAATTCAATGCGAAACTTACTTTTAATTTTGACGTTTTTTTTAAGACACGGGCCTTAGCAACAAGGTTTACGAATCGCACGGCTTTAATTTCAATAAAAGTCTTGCCAAAACCAACGCAAAGTTAGGGGGCATAACAACACAGTTTCAGAGTAGTGTTAAAACAAGGTGTTTTAATACAAAAAAAAATTGACATGTATGCTTTTGCTTGTAAGAAGTCACTTAGAATAGAGGGCGAAGCATAAACAATGTTTTTACTTTTCGCCATTGATCTTGCTTTAAATTTAAGGCATTTTTATCTTACAAAGAATACCAGTTATGCATGCATATCTTGATACAGAACTCTAAACTGGTATCTTCCTACCAGAAATGTTCTAAATTGGGTCTGCCAACTTTCTGCCCTGGACAGGAAGTGGTATTTCTTATCAAGGTTATGATAATTGCGCAGACATACAACATCTTGTGTATTTTGATACTATTAATAACAGTTTATCTACCATCTTAATGTTTCCAAAACTGTTTCAATACATAAATTTCATGATATTTTCATGAGGTCTTATCAACCGCTGATAAAGCGATTTCTTGCGATGATAAGAACTAGAAGTGTTGGATTTTAACGATGAGTCACGTGATTGATTGCTTAAGAAGAAAAAAAACACTTTGTACACTTTGATCTTTAAACAATATTGCGTGTACCATACTTGCAATATTTATCATGCAATAACGGACCGTTTTATGGGCAAATTAACCTGTCCTCTTCAAACTTTGATACGTTTACGTTATAACAGAATAAACACGATTATTTACAATAATTCACCTAATACCTTTAGAACACATAAACACTCAATGTCACTTATACATTGTTATGCCATTATAGTAAAATTAGGTTTACTACGAAATGATGAAATATTTTGAAGGTAAATATATAACTTAACGCGGTTAATATATTCAGAGTAAAATGAATCCATGATAACAGACCGAGACGCTACGTAAATTTAATATGGTTGTTGTTTTACATAATGTATGTAAAATAAACAAAATGTGTACGTAACAACCCAATAATTATTAACGCTTTCATGTGATTTAGTAAGATTCAAACTTCAAACTTTTATTTCCATCTTAGGTTACATCAAGCAAACAACATAAGTATCATTTTATAATAAATACAGTGATAATATTAAAGATTTAACTTTTTTTTAAGTACTTGTAAAATTAACAATCGTTGTTCCTTTTCAATACGTTTTTAATCTAAAAATAAATGACAAATTCTGAGCTGAGAGACAAACCATTGCAAAGCGCAGACACGGAATTATCTTGTTTTCTTTTTTTCTAAAGTGTGTGTGTTATATTGTCTTGTTTTCTTTTTACTAATTTATATTTGTATTCGCCTTACTAATTGAAGTGTTACACATCATTACATGTATTGTCATTTATTTGTTATATGTAAAATCATATTCATAAATTGCATACAAGCATACAAAGAGCAATAAATTACTAATAAACTACGTATGATGCAGGAAGAAATGGCCAAGAAGACCTGCAAACATTTTAATTGAAGCAACGCTAGAAAAGATAAGTTTGATTATTTGAAAAAACGCGGGTCAATCTTGCTTCAATCGATATAAAAGCTGGGAAACAATTTCATCTGCCGTTAATTACAAACATTAAAACATTTTTTTATATATTATTATTGAATATTGTACACAATAGCTTCAGTGTTGACGCGTCATTTCCGTCTTTAGAAATAATTAAGTTAAGAAAATGAATTTCTTTGTAAAGTTTAAGCATATACATCTTATAATTATGAATGTAAAATTTTGTAATTAATACTGAGCAAAAACGACTGAAATAATGAAATTATACATACGAATTTCTAAGTAGAGCTGTACATGTATTTAAATATATCCTGTCATTCACATAATTTTGTATTCTTTAACTTCTTAACATGTATACTACAATGTATGTAATATTGAAGTATGTACTTTTTAAAGAAAGAAGCAAGCACTTGCACTCTTATAATTGTTTAGAATACCAAGTATGGCTGGATATGTAGAGGGAAGGAGTGGGGGGGGGGGGGGGGGGTGGGTCATAAGTAAAATGTACTCAAATTATTAATTATCAAGGTATATTTGTCAGTAACAAGAAACATTTCGAATGTTAAATCAAGATATATCTTAAAGTCCACAACATAGGCGTTAAGAATTCATGAAATGCTACATTCAGTATAACAACAAAAAAGCAACATTATTGCGATGGTAACGAATTATGACATTACGATCTCTTTATTTGTAAATAAAAACGCGCAAAGTGTTGAATGTGATCATTTTATAATGTAATATATCCTGTCAAATGTCACAACTAATGATTAAGTTTTTTTCTCCCAAACATTTAGATGCGCAATTTAAGCATGCATTATAATTACAAAAACATAAAAAATCTTACCTAAATTTCGAATGTATATTTGTTTCACAAAATTCTTTTGTTACAAGAAATTTCGAAGAATAAACACAATTTCAATGTCTATAACTGAAAAAGTTATCGCTATTTAAACTTGGAGCCTGTTAATCACCGCGTATTAAACTGACAGTTACAGCGTAATTTCGGACGCAAATTCGGTTACAGTTACGCTCAGCATACTGATCCGTTTTAAAGTGATTTGCTGATTGACTTATTGGTGGGAAGGTTTGTTTATAAAGTAGTATTCGTTTAGTCTCTCGCCAGTTGGTAAAAAGTATGGCTGATGCATAATACTATAATGACGTAATAATTGCTGATTATTAACAGGCAAATGAGTAGAATACTTTGCGGCGTCGTACTTGACCAATTTAATCTTATGAACACTACCCTATAATAAATAGCAATTTTTTTCACAAAATAAAACTACCAAAGCTTCAAAAATGTGACGCATGGCAAATACAATGTACGTGCACAATTTATATGATTAATTCGACCATTGTTGTTCTTATATGTTCGGTAGGAAACTTATAGTCCTGTCATAAATCAGTTGTTGAATTTAGCAATTTGACAGTTTCTTATTTTCATGGAAATACTAAAATTAAAATGCGCAGCTGTATTGGGAAATGCTATGTAAATATAAATGTAAAGGCATTTCCTTATTTTTGCCTAACATTTAACACTTTTAACACTTTAATGAATGAAACGGTTTAAGACTTGGTGAGTCATTCATTTCTAAAAACACGTTAGGGTAATTCAAGTACAATTTACAACGAGGAAATAATCACGACCTGGGCTACCATCTATAAAAATACATTAAGAAAGAAAATGTCGTAACGTTATCTCGTCTAGTTCAGAAAATAAGGTTAGTAAAGCACTGTTTTAAACCCAGTGTATATTTTCTTTTTCTGTTTTGCAGGGGACTCATTGATAAACAAAATTTGATAAAAGAGTGCAAGGCCAATTCATAAATTAACGATTTCAGCTGATCAAATATCTAGTATTTACACTGTTCATTGCAAAACATTAGTTAACATACATACTTTATCTGTAAAAAGTCGATTTTATCTACACATAGTCGTTTTTACTCTCTTAAATACTGCCACTCTGTCCTGCCCGACTTCTTGCTGACGTGCAATATTGCCCGTTTTTATAAATCGTTGACGACTGACTGAACCTATATTTTCCCAACTCTGTTTTGAAAGTCAGTGGCAACATTGCCAAAATATTTACACAGAACGCTTAAAAATGAAGCAAACGAGACAGTAGTGGTTATTACAGTCTATATGGACGGACACATCTGCAGACGTTTCGCAGTTCTATATTGAAGGTGTTACATAAAAGAGAGTTATTGGTGTATAATAAACCAGCATCTCATGATCGATAATTGTTATATTGTATAACGAAAAACAACAAACAACAACACACCAACAACAAACAAACTCACAAACACAATCATATGTTGCACACATTCGGTGATATACCGATCAGTCAAACTATTATCGTCTGATGTCACTTTAGCCTGGCATAAAAGTTCTTGTTTAATAAAAAAAAAGTCAGTGTACATTTCGGAAAGAGGCCTGCGCAACAAGAGAATCATGTAGACGTACAGGAGAAATCCTATGTTTTAAGGGACAATGAATTGCTGTTTTTATATCATTTGTTTAGGGATGATATCAGAACCGTCACTTAAGTGCTCCTTCCGTAAGAATAAGAAGCCTAAAATAGCAACAGAATTAGCATGCTTACCCGCAGCAGAAGCAAGAATGGCATCTGCGTGTTCAGCATCAGAATCATTCCTTGGTGGAATTGTATATATATCAGGATATTTCTTCTTCAGCAGTTGTTTTAAATAGGAATATTCGGGTAAAGCCTTCCGTTCAGCTATAAAGAATATGGTTAGCATGATTACATATATATGTTAAATATCTAAACAAAATTGATATTACAGTAATATATCAGTAATCTGCAAGTTCTTGTCGGATTTTTGTAATGTTAAGGTGATGGGAAGCTAAATTTATTGATACGAGTATTATTTTAGATATCGGCGTAGAATTATGAATTCATTGTGAACTATATAACTGGATTTTTTTTCAATTATGATTTATTTTGTTCTGTACCTTCTTCTTCTATCAGTTTTTCTTCAAGATATTTTGCAGCAAATTCAAACAAGTTCGATGGATTTTCTCTAACAATCACGCGACCTAGTCTTTGCAGCAATATCTGAAATCTGGCCGGCAATTTTCGTCTCCACTGTCGCTCCGTCGACGTCATTGTAACCACCTAACCTCAAGATACCTTAAAACATTTTATATTGATGTGTATATAAAGTAACATCTGTTACATCTGTAACATTAAAATAATAATTTGACAAGTATATTTAGCTAGATCTTGAAATCAATATTCTTTTTCCATTGCGAGCTACGTGCGATGATTAAATAGTCTGGTCTGTCACATAGCTATTCTGTAGAATATTATGTCCAGAAGAACATGAACTTTTGTCAAAAATAGCTGTAAAATTAAGTCCTATTTAAAAATTCCCATCCCTACAGTATAGTTGTTTTTTATATAAGGATGGTGGTTTTTTTTTTCAATTGGACTTTACTGAGCACTTATATTGACAGAATTTCAACTTCCTGTTGTGTACCACCGTAGTGAACGTGTTACAGTATCGCGTTTTTCGGTTACAGTATAGTATTTTCAAGATGGTGGAATATTTATGGGAAGAGAGGTAGGTGATTTTTTTCAGGTCCATACTACTAGTAGTTTAGTTTCTAAAAGATGTTTTTGTGCTTTGCTTGTAAGGAACAGAATCCGGTATCTAGTCATATATTTCTTAAGATCTTGCACCGCAGATTTATCTCTATGTTGTCTCATAAATGTGCAGATTTGACGGTTTAAAAATTTGAATCGAGAGACCAACGCATTTTTCTCCCATTCCGACATTATTTAAGCATGCCTAGATAAAGTAAATCTACAAAACGTTAGTTATTTGTGTTTAGAAACGTTTATACAAGTAAATGACCAGTTGAACCTATTTTCCTGTTGGTAAAATGCGTTTGAAAAAATAAACAATGTTACAGTATAGAGCGAGGTTAATTTTGAAGGGTTACAGCATAGACCTAGCGACTTTGATCCAATTTTGTTACAGTTTATACACAGATTTCGGTTACAGTTTAGATACTTGCCAAATTTCAAACAAAGTTCGTGTATCCATTATTTTTTATGAAATAACTCATACCTTTCTATTTAATACATTCTTGAAAGGTTGTATTACTTTTTTTCTTCAGCAGAAAAGTTAGTTTGTTATTTTTCTTACTTTAAGTTTCAGATTGAGACTTTTTGCAGAATAAGTAATGTGCTAAGTAAGGACTGTTTTCACGACAACAACAGTAACTTTTATCGAATTGTATTGAGAGAAGAAAGATTATTGCTTGATTTCATTACACATTATAATAATGCCTATTAGTAATAAAATAGAGAAAAAAGCATCCTTAACAGAAGTCCAACACGGAAAACATGAAAATGTTGCAGGCTCAGTTTGATTAAACCTGTAAATAATATTTTCGTTTTTGATTCAGGTATATTTGAAACACCAAAAGAAGTTAGTGACCATTTTGGAACATATATTTTTCTAAAAATCGATTTTGATTAAAATAAACCATTCAAAAGACGTGTTTGGAATTATAAAAAAGCTGATTTTTCAAAACTTAATAATCTTATCCGCAATACTGATTGGTCAGATATAAAAAATGAAAATATAGATCAAGCTTGTGACTTTTTTACCGATAAATTCTTAGAACTTGCAAAACAGTGTATTCCTACATATATGGCGTTGATAAGACCTAAGGATAAACCCTGGTTCAATTCAGAAATTCGCAGAAAATCGCGCCAAAGAGATAGACAGTTTCACAAAGCATTAAATTCTAATAGATCATCAGACTGGGTAATATATAAACAATTAAGAAATACAGTAAATAATATGAAAAAAACATGCAAAAGAAATATTTTATAATAATCTCGAATTTTCCCTAAATGACTTAAATTCTTCGAATCCGCGTAAATATTGGCATACAATTAAAATGCTTGTCAAGGAAAACTCGTCGAATACTGAAAGTATACCACCTTTAAAATGTAACACAAGTAACAATAATTATTCAATGACAGATTTTGAAAAAGCTAATACGCTTAATGATTTTTTTGTTTCCATTTCAGACCTTGACGAATCAAATATTGATCTTCCAGACTTTTCCTTAAGAACAGAAGCGATTCTTGAAAATTTTACAATAAGTGAACAGGAAATTACAGATATTTTGGCAAATTTATTCGTAAACAAAGCATCCGGGCCTGACAAAATTAGTCATAAAATGTTAAAAGAAACATCTAAAACACTGTGTAAACCACTCTCTTTGCTTTATAACCGTTCTTTATCAGAGAAAATATATCCGTCTAGTTGGAAATTAGCACATGTAATGCCTCTTTTTAAAAAAGGTGACAAAGATATACCGTCAAACTACAGGCCTATTTCTCTTATCAGTTGCACCGGCAAAGTTATGGAACGTATCGTTTTTAAACATATTTTTAACTATCTTCATGAAAATGCTTTAATATTTCAAAATCAATCAGGTTTTCTGCCAGGTCATTCAACTGTTTTTCATCTTATAGATATATATGATCAAATTTGTAAAGCTTTAGACAAAAAAGAATCAACATGTATGGTTTTCTGTGATATATCAAAAGCGTTTGACAGAGTTTGGCATAAGGGTTTAATTTTCAAATTAAGACAGTACGGAATTTCAGGTGATTTAATTCTTTGGCTAGAAAATTATTTAATGAATAGAAATCAGAAAGTTTTTGTTGGGACTTCTTTTTCTATTTTACGGTACCTTCATGGCGGTGTCCCTCAAGGCTCGGTTCTTGGGCCTCTTTTGTTTTTAATTTACGTTAATGATATTGCCGATTCCCTTTTAAGTATAACACGACTTTTTGCAGATGATAGTTCTTTAGCTGTGTCTACAAATAATATTAGTACGATGGAATATAAACTCAATCATGATCTCAATATGTTAAATAAATGGTCTAAACAATGGTTAGTTAATTTTAATCCTTCTAAAACCGAGGTTATGTTCTTTTCGTTTTGTAATAGAGATCGCCCACAATTATACTTTGATAATGTTCAATTAAACTTTGTAGAGCACCAAAAACACCTCGGCGTAACTTTTAGTCAGGATGGATCATGGCACGAACATATTACTACTATAGTTTCTTCGGCATCTAAAATTTTAGGTTCGATGAAAATTATAAAGTTCAAAGAAGTACACTCAATAATATATATATTTCATACTTACGTCCTCGTCTTTAATATGCTTCATTTTTATGGGATAACTGTACCCAGTACGAGAAAGATATTTTAGAAAAAATGCAATATGAAGCGGCTAGAATTGTCACCGGTTTAACAAGATCAGTGTCCATGCAAAAATTATTAAAAGAAATAGGTTGGGTATCTTTGGCAGAAAGAAGAAAAATTCAAAAACTTGTTTTAGTATACAAAGTAAAAACATAATTTTACTTCCTTATATTTATCACAGTTATTTCCCCCTTTAGTAGAAAATGCAAATGAAAACCAGTATAATTTAAGAAATAACATCAATTATGTTACTATGACAAGGAGGACCGAAATATACTCAAAATCAGTTATACCGTCATCAATACAGCTTTGGAATGAATTATCAATAAATATTAGAGAATCTGACTCGTTAGCAAACTTTAAAAAGAAAACTGAAAGAAATTTATAAACCTCCCATTGTTCCGTCTTATTTTATAAACGGTGAGCGCTCACCAACAGTTATACCATACACCTCTTAGGAATAATTGCAGTAATTTAAACTCGGGACTTGTATATAACAATCATATTACACAAAACCCAGCTTGTGAATGCGGTGCTTTAATAGAGGACGCTGAACATTTTTTTATTTCAATGCAAAAAATTTAATCATCAGAGGATAGAACTTTTAAGAAATACAAGAGAATTTCATCCTCTCAGTACGCAAAAGTTACTTTTTGGTATAAATACTTTAACTAATTCTCTAAACATGCTTTTATTTCATCATGTTCATCGGTTTATTAAAGAAACGAAAAGGTATATATAGTTTAACAACATTTGATCTTCTTTTATACTTTGTTTTTATGGTTCTAAACAAATTGTTAGACTATTGTCAACTGTCAAAATTCATAGTAAAACTGTTGTAGGGGGTAGGCGACGTGTTGTTTTTTTTTCATATATCAGAAAATATATTTATTTACAATTTCTTTTTTCTGATTATTTTTTCTTAGATTTCAACTTGATTAATCATACTTTACATATGTCTTTTTCACATCTATTTTTAAATAACATTGCAGTCAGTATTTCATGGGAGGGCCCCCGATAATGTTGTTATAACTTTTGGCCCAACCCTTTTGTATATTTACATTAATGTATTTATGTGTGATTGTGAAAATTTATGTTTGTATGTATATATATACAATAAAATATGTTTAAACTAAAATTAAACCTGTTCAAGGACGGTAGTGGTAACTGTAAGCTACCGTCCACGCCTCCTATCACCGGCTTCAGCAGAATTCACATTAAACATGAACTGGTACACTTTAGATTTTTTATCATCTGTGGATGTGTCCATATGGCGGTTATCATGAAACCTTCAATGTGACACGTTATTGCCATTCTATGAAAAGCGGCATATTACTCCCAGGTTAAAAATTGCGTGTGCCCTAAACGAGAATACAATGAGTGAAACTAAATAAAATGAAATTTTGAAAGGGGATCGGAGGCTATGAAGCCTGCATACCATGGATAAGCTGTCAAAAGACACAATTAACAAGCAGGCAATACCCTAAGAATTATTAAACAGTATTTAAGTGAGCAATACTGCAACCTTAAATTTTATTTTAAGTTGGAATTTCCATCTACCATAATGTATTTTGTACGTATTTAAAAGGGTTTGTTACGTTTGGCTTTCTTGGATTTTAAGTTTCAACGACACTGAGGTCATGTGAAAACATTCCTGCTTTAGTGTAAAGAAAGACCCCAGATACCATTTATGAAACATTTCAGACACGAGCGGGCACCTGACTAGAACAACCGACCTTCCGTAAATCAGCTTGATAGATTCCTCACATACAAAGAATCCAAAGTCATGATCGGATTTCAACTACAGCAGTAAATGAAAGATGATTTGAAGTCGACGGCCTTATACCGACTCTGCCACTATTATATACCTCCATCAGGCTCACTAGAGAAGATTTTGTAATTGTCTGACCTTAATTTATACTCTATAACTTTCAATATTATTTATTTTCTTTTTCAGAAACATGACAACTGCTATACAGGATGTCTGAAATAAAAAAAAACGACTTTTAATTTAATAATGACAAAATAATCGTAACTTCAACAAAGAAGCATTCGAAATAACGCCATGATCATGATTTGATTTAAATGCTTTTGGTTCGAGATGAGAAGGGTCTTTAAACATTGCCTTTTTTCAAAATCTATGTTTTGGGTTTTCGTATCCCCGATTGCAACCGAAACCATTTGAACAACTTAATTGGTAGAAAGTCATGTATAAAAAAAACAAGAATAAAGATCAACAGGCAAAGGCAACGTTCACAGGACGCGGCCCCCGACACACTAAAATTTTTTATCACATTTAGTCAAGTAGTTACTGAGCGGATGAGATTGCACACACATGTGTACGACAGACGGACGAATAGCCATCGGGCCAATAAGCTCACAGAGATTTAAAAGTCTAAGTAACATTCATACATTTTACCTCGTATATAGAAAATATCGAAGTCTAAACTGTAACCGAAATCTGGGTATAAACTGTAACAATATCGGATAAAATCGCTAGGTCTATGCTGTAACCCTGCACAAATTACCTCGCTCTATACTGTAACATTGTTTATTTTTTCAAACGCATTTTACCAACAGGAAAATAGGTTCAACTGGTCATTTACTTTTATAGACGTTTCCTTACATAAAGATCTAACGTTTTGCAGATTTACTTTTTCTAGGCATGCATAAATAATGTCGAAATTGGAGAAAAATGCGTTGGTCTCTCGATTCAAATTTTCAAACTGTCAAATCTGCATATTTATGAGACAATATAGCGATAAATTTGCGGTGCAGAGTCTGAAGAAATATATGACTAGATACCGGATTCTGTTCCTTACAAGCAAAGCACAAAAACATATTTTAGAAACTAAACTACTTGTAGTATGGACCGGAATAAAAATCTCCTACCTGTCCTCCCAACAAATAATCCTCCATCTTTAAAATTCTATACTGTAACCGGAAAACGCGAAACTGTAACACGTTCCCTACGGTGTTGTGTACAGTACAGTAGAGCTAAGTACTAAATTATTCGGCATGATCTAGTAGATGTACAATTGTATAATAATAGCATCATAAAACAATAAAAAGAAAAGTAATAGTATGAAAATATTGTTATACGTACCTAAATATACTTAAATATAATAGAGTATTGCAGTCTGACATAAATATGTTGATCAAGTTAATTGTTTACATCGTTGTTGCGATGAAACAGACCGTGAAAAAACGGATATTACGTCACAATTTGGCTGAAGCATAATTAATTAAATAATTTTTAATGTTGTACTTCATTCGTACTAGTTTAAAAGATGAAAGGACCTAACCATTTTATAAATTCTAAATTTTAAAGTTAAAGCATTTAAGAAGTTTATTATTATAATTATTGTTATTCAGCCCGAGTCTGTTAAACAGGAAGAGAAAACAAATCTAAACATGAGCGGTGTTTACTTATTTGTTTATTAGAGACTGTGAACTTCGTATAATTTTTGGTAAATTTGATCGTTTGTTTTTTTTCAAACTGAGTTTATTTAACATTCGATCAATAACTTTTTATTTCAAATGATCACGAAAACTGTAAATTATTGCCGCTGTCAAGGACTCATTCTATGTAAAATGGAGTGGGTGGGGTAAAAAATAAAAAATCTCCAGCCATCAAATGATCTATCTTCCCTTTTATGAGTCAAAACCCCTCGCGAGGACGCGTACATTCGCTGCATCAAGCTCCTAAGAAAGGTTTGAAAGTGAGATTAATCATTGCTTTATTGTCTTCTTGTATATTTGAATTATTGACCCACCTAAACAAAGTTTGATTCAAAATTATTTATGGAAATTGAGTCAGGTAATTTTTAATAGGTCCTGAATGAGGTATCTAAAACATGGTCTTTTTTCCCCAAACGAAAGAAGATAAAGTCAACCCTTTTCATGCCAAAAAGAGTTGGAAAATCTGTGAGCATCAATAATTTTAACATTATAATTTATATTGTTTTGTCTATTTTTTACCAGGTTTTCTAGCGGCAGAAAAAATGGTAAAAGGTCAACTCGGCCCTATACAAACTCGGCACAAGTCAACTCGGCTCTCTATTAAAAAGCTTTTAGGATATAGATTGTGACGTGTATGTAAGTTAATAAACTTTTTAAGGAGATGATAAATGTAAAAGTAATTCTAGGGTTAGTCCAACTAATTCAGTAATTTTATTGCGCGACAAGATATTCATATTGTTCTATTTTTGTGTCTGGACAATATCTCGCTCTACGACATAAAAGCCAGATTCTGAACAAGAACGAAAATATCTCAGATGACTTGGGGGGCCGAGTTGGTTTTAGGGCGGAGTTGACCGGATTCCACGAGATACCCAAATATAGCAATATTCATTTTTGTTTGTATAAACATTTAAAATGTAGATAACAATGAGAAAATGAATTAATTTGTATCAAATAATATGACTTAGCCAGCTATAACTTTCATTCATTCCAAAATTTTTAAACTTGTGACATTTCTGAAAACTATCTAGAATGAATCAATGATAGAAAATGGTCTAAGAAAATAAATCTGAACAACATTATCTTTAACACAGCCATTAACGCTGTACAGACATTTAAAGTGTTGTTTATGTGATGTCACAATGTAGGGCCGAAACAGCATGTGCAAAAACAGTAAAAACAAGAACGCTATATCATTGCCACAAACCAGTTAAATTTCACATTTTTTTCACAATAAATACTCAGTATTTCGCTTGAAAAATATAGTGAAATAAAATAAACACACAAAAATTTTATCAACGTTTTCAAAATTCATAACCCTCAAAATGTTTCTGCGAACAGTAGACTTAACGACAGTCTTTTTCAACCAACTGGAACAGCCTTTAAAGAACGTTTCTATTGGAAACTTTGAGACGAAAACAAATTTAACCACCAAACATATAGTCCAACTATTTATTTGTTTCTTGACATGTTAGAATGGAAATATTGGCTGTTGTGATTATATTACTACGCATTTTGACTCAAACCATGCATCATTCTACAACAATGCACTAAGAATTGATACCTATTGCCTAAATATAATCTTATGAATAGATTAGTATTATGAGTAAAATCAGTTTGTTTCTAGGTGTTTTTTTTTGTAGTAATATGCATCTACTTATATACAATGAACATTCCAGATTTGTAAAAATATACAAGTAGAAGATGCAAATTGTTATTCATCTATATATTGTACATGTAAAAAATGGAAAGTAACAAAGGCCACTATTTTCCCAAAAATGTTTGAATTGTAAAATGCTTACAATATGCACCCGGGTACTTGATGAAGAAGCTTCTGTGAAAAATTAACTTTGAAAACCTGGTTTCATCTTTCTTTCGTGTTGTTTCTTGGTTGGTGATATTTTAATATTATTTTTGAAATTCTTTTCTAAGTCAGTAGCATGTGGTCAAGACAATTCTAACTTCCTTTATCGTTAAGTAAAAAGTTTGTTTTTGGGCATTTTTGTAAACAAAAAGTTATATGGCACATATTAAAAAGTTTACTAAATTTGAAAATATCATTACAGTCTGTCCTGCTCCTACCGGTATATTTATTATAAACAAGGTGACCATGACATGTGCTTGTTTTTCGACTATAAAACAAACTTTTTTATCAAGTGCCTGGGTTATCTATGTGTCAGGAGTTATCTCTCATATTAGTATAAAATATTGTTTAAATATAAATTTTACAGGCGGAGGGTGTCATAAAAGTATCTGGCAAGCTGTTTTGCTGAAATTTTCTCAGTAAGTCTAACAGCTAACAGCCAGGGCTAAAAACATATCTAGTAGGGTTATAAAAGATAAGAAGAATAACCCAATTATTACCTCTCTGAAAAAAACATAGGTTACCTACATGTATGTGCCTGTCCTACTTTCATGTTATGTGCGAAACAATGAAAATGTATGCAAAGACAGTATTAAACTTTCTTTTGTGATCGGAATTCACTTGCAAAAAAAATAATTGAGATGCAAACAGTGCTCGATGTTCAATGTTAGATACATTCAAAGTTCTAGAGACCAGCGTTCTTTATAACTTATACTTGAAATATTAAGATTTTCAACATTATTAAGGTTCCATACAAATTGGTGGTGCATTTAAGTAGTAAATTAGATCATTGTGGGCATCAAGTATTCCGTATTCTTTATTATTTTTTTAAGTTTCAAAGATATTTTTAAGAATTCTCTAGTTTTTCTTTTATGAAGTTAAATCAATTGTTGATATTTGAGAAGCAATGTTTCTGAAAAAATATTCAAGAATGAACATTTTAATGGGACTCCACTGAAGTTTTTTGACATATGTAACCTTTTTTTGTATACCATTTGATCATTAGCTTAACTTTTCCAAAACAATTTTTTTCATGGTGCAAAGTAACGCAAATGAAAGGTTTTTAAATGTTTTTAACTCAAATCTGACATTTATCTCACATAAAAATCAATTTTAAATACAATTTTTAAGATATTTCTTAAATTAAGTTTTATACATTCTCTGTTTTATTAAGTGTCCCAGTTCATACTATAAGAATTTCAAGTGTTACGTTTTTAGGCTTTTGGACTTCAGTTGAGTTTGTTTAATGTTTACCAGCATAAGAACTTTTATGGTTCAAAGTCATTATGAGTCATAGTATTCATATTTCAACTGACATTTTCAAAATAATTATAATCCAATGTCCAGACAAGAAAATTGTTTGTATGTAAAATACATGTAAAATACTGCATGAAATTCAATAATTATCAGCATAAATAGACTTACTCTGGAATACAAAAAAAACGTTTTGGAATTTCCCAGCTAATCTGGGACAAACAGACTTTTACAGTTACAGCTTCGAAAACAAGCGCAATAGCTTGACTAATCTATTGTGACCGGAAGTATGCCATGAAGATATAATGGTAAATATTTGTTTGTACTGGGGGCTGAACTGGGAAAATAAAAAACGTATTAATTTTGCCGAGTTCTGGATAACAAGCATTTTACTTTACCTTTGAAGTGAAAAGGGTTAAGATTAAGAAACTTTTTTTGCAAATAGCAAATGTTTACTAGTTTGAAATATTTAAACTGGTTTAATTAATGTGTATTGCATGATTGATATCAAAATATGAATCAGTTTTATCTGGTGAACAATTGATGTTATCTTTGACCTTGTGATGATATGAAGATAAATTATACTGACAACTTGTTATCATTTGTTTGACAATTAACATTTATATAATCTTTCAACTATTGATTTAGTTTAAGTACTCTTTAAATGCTGGGCAATATTTAATAAAAGGTAAGACTGTGCAAAATATTTAAACATAACATATAAGTTGTTTTTTTTGTGCAGACATGAATCATTAGTTGACATTTTTCAATAAGTAAGATACAGTGAGTGCAGTAACATTTTCATTGCATGTATAAAATGTATATCTACATACTAGGTACAAACCTACAGTATTGATGGTTGTTTTTTTTTTAACTTTTTTTAAAACTTTTTTTTCATTTATATAATATTAATAATGTTTTATTATAAATTTGTTATAAATGCTGATAATGTGAAAATAATTATAATAACAACAGGGATTAGCATACTACATTTATGGCAATGTAAATAATATTTTATTGCACAAGAGAATACTTGGGTGGTAATGTTTTTTTGTTGTTCTTTTTCCCCTGAAGTTATGACATATTTGATAGATTAACGATGATAATATCAAATATTAGTAATAATTATTTTTATTCTATTTTCTAAAATAGTTGATGTGTTAAACTTACAACATATGCTCACATTATAGATTATTTAAATACCACTTTGTATTTGATGTCATTTGATAGTTAATCATTTTCTCAAGTGTTTTTTATAAAGCCCTAATTAGATACTTTGGAACTCTGCGTATGTGAATTTTTCCATTACAAACTTTAACAGTTACAACTTGGTAAATATATTGATAATAATCTCAACACCTTGACAGTAGTGCAATGTGAAGCTATAACAGGAAAAGTTTGAACCCTGGGATATGATGGGGAAATCCCTCATTCGACACTTGCCTCTCACTACTGTGGGTTCGAATCCTGACAGAGACTTCGGATTTATAATTTCTTGTAAGGAAGCTATCCAGCTAGCTTATGGAATGTTAGTAGTTGTACTCAGGTGCCAGTTCAAGTCTGAATTAATGCACAGAAGGAAACCTTAGGTCTTACTTCACAAGCAAAGCTGGATAGTTGCCTCTATTGTGTAGTTGCAACCTAAAAACCCCACCCCCTAAAAAAACCTAAAAAAACAACCTCAGTTGCAGAGTTCTGGTCAGTAACATCTGTCATTTTAGAGGGGTTTGTCCACCTGAACTGTTAATGTACATGCATATATACATGTATTGTCCATTTAGGCTCTGTTTCAATCCTAACAGTTGTATAATCCTCAAATGCATCCTGTATGATAGTATAAACATGTTATTGACAACTTTTTCTACATTACAAACAGTTAATCATTTGAACTACTATGCTACCATTTTTTTTTGTTTTTGGACAAAGTTGTAGTAGAAAAAATACTTGCCTAATTGTGTAAGATCTGACGGTTCAAGTGACTGAGTATTTAGTATTAGTATAGCTTATGTAACATGATGTTTTATCTGGTTAGTCAGGTATGTTGAATCTTGAAATATCAGATTGAAAATCATGAAATTATACCATGTGCAGATAAACACTTCAAAATTTAAGCAATCAAGATAAAACAGGGTAAAACAATTCTGTTAAATATCATAAAGCAAAATGGTATATACGGGTATTGTATTATGCACATAATCATTTTTGTTTGTCTGCATTGTGCATGTCAGTTCTGGAACTTCCAAACATATTTAATTGTTTGAAGCCAAAGAATAACAGCCTTGAAATAATACAAAAATATCTATTTATACATGTTTTTTAAAATGACTTTTTGGGTTTTATCGTTTTTTTGTTGTTGTTTTTTTCAAATATTTTTTTCTCCAGGAAAACTATTGAAATTCTACTGTTAGAGATATCATACTGCTCATATAGTTGCAGAGCACTGTAATAAATTATTTTAACATAAGCAAGCAAGTTTCCTTAAAAAATAACATTTTGAAGATGAATTTGATATGGTAATTTAAAACATTTGAATTCTATTAATTTTAGCATGTTGTGAAGTTTTCTAGATTTTCAAACGTTTGTAACATACAAACAATGTAAGGGTATCAAGAAAAAATGGTAAGCTGTTAAAACATAGCCAAATAAAAATGAATTTGCTATCAATTATCTAAACTGTATTTGTAATAACTTTTTCTCATTGCAGACAATCATGTCGTATGCTGAGTTGGTAGTGATTGACGGTTCAGACCTCACTAATTTACTGATAGCCTGTTTTACCTGGTCAACACTCTACTTCACACTGTGTATTTTAAACCCTAAACGTAGCTATGAGTGGCACATACGTACAGTCACACTAATTCATGCTGTTTTGGTGTCACTTCTAGGAGCTTATGGTGCTATTGTTATTGGACCATGGCCATTTACTCAGTCAGGTATGTTGGTTGTTAGGGGCTGTGTTCCATAAACACTACTGTCCCTTGTTGATGATTGTATAAACTAATAATTAATATTTTATAGATTTCTTGATATATAAGACTTTTTCTTCTTTAAAAGTAAAATGGAACGGATTTGAGAGTGTTTCAATAAGCTTATAGCTTCCAACACAATCAAACTTAAATAAATTTGTATAAACTAAAAGTAAAATGGCTGTCCTGACTTCCAGACAAATCAAACATTCACATGGATAATACCAGACAAATCAAACACCATTAAGGATGATTAAAGTCATTTTGATAGCAAATTGTCCATCAGACCAGCTTGAATATTGAAAATACTACCATTGAATACCTTGTCAAAATGAAATTGATACATTGTACTGTCTTTGTCTCTTTTAAATATTCAAAATCTGTCCATTGTAAAGCTTCTATAGACGTAGCTGGATTGATATATACTTTGGCAAAAATGTACAATATTAGACATAGTGTTGTACAAAGTTCAGGTCCCATTTAGCCATGATCAGGGTTTTTATGCCAAGGTCAATGGTCAGATAAATGCCAAGATCAATGGTCAGATAAATGCCAAGATCAATGGTCAGATAAATGCCAAGATCAATGGTCAGATAAATGCCAAGATCAATGGTCAGATAAATGCCAAGATCAATGGTCAGATAAATGCCAAGATCAATGGTCAGATAAATGCCAAGATCAATGGTCAGATAAAACGAAAATGTGAATATTGATAAATTTGCCATCATGTTTCATGAGCATTCGTGACATGCAATATTTTGTGACATATTGGCACTTTTACTGATATTTTATATATAAAATTTGTTTTGACTTTTAATATTTTAGGTGGACACAGCACACCATATCAACATTATGTGATCACTATGTCTCTGGGCTATTTCTTGCTGGATCTATCATGGTGTCTGTACTTTAAGACAGAAGGTAAACAATTTATTATTTTGTTAAAAGGACCATTTTGGTACTGTTATTTAGTAAATGCAGAGATTATTAATATTGTTTAGGTACCTAACTAGTATAGGTTTTGGCAGAGTATGTATAGTGTTATTGCTGGGACAAACTATTTGGGAGTGACTTAAGTTGAGGAATTAGAATTGCATCAACTGTTCATTCCTGTGAGATTGTGAGAGACGACTGAATTTGTTTAAATTACTGGAATCTCTTAGGTCCAGCAGGTTTGGTGCCATATGAGCTAAATTGTGTTGGTGTGTCTTAAAATCAAAAAAGAAATATATAATAAAAGCAAAAAAAATAATGCATGTTTTATCTATATTAAAATGATTAGAAAACCAATAGTCTCATATTGTTATGTAATTATTTCTATTTTTCAGGTCCTGTTATGTTGGTACACCACACAATGAGTATAGTTGGACTAACTGTTTGTTTTCTGTTGAAGTACTATGGTATAGAAATGATAACCACCTTGTTTGGGTCAGAGGTCACCAATCCTTTATTGCAGTGCCGTTGGTTTCTACGTGAGACTAATAACTACGATTCAATTCTCGGAGATGTTGTCGACGTTGCCTTTATGACATTGTTTGGACTCTTTAGAATAGTCCTAGGAACTTGCTTGCTGTATTCATACTTCGGACAAGAGAGCACAGATTGGTTGGGTAGATTGGCTGGTGTTCTTATATACAGTATGGGGTGGGTTTTCTGGGTAAACATTGTGCAGTATAGTATAAAGAAGTACAGAAAAAAGTATGGTAAATCAAAGTCTAAGTCAAAGACCACTAATAATAACATTGATGTAAATGGTAAAGAAAATAATGGAGAGCTCAAATTAAATGGTAGTATTGAACCTAAAAATGGTTATGTACAGACAAAGGAAAACGGTGCAGTTTCAAATGGGCATGTACATAAAAGACATGTAAATGGGGCAGGTAGAAGTACAGAAATTGTGACAGAGGAACATGTAGCATCAAGGTCCTAGGCGTAATTATGTTGTAGCTAAGATTAACTTGTTGTCATGTAATGTACATGTATGCAATCATGTGAACAAATTTGCTACCTTGATACATATAATTTTTCGAAATCATGCAATGAAAGCATAATGAGTAAATTGCAATATTACACAATACTGTATTTTGTGAGATAAAATGAAATCTTGATATTAAATAAAACATACATATAGGCATAATGGGATTAGTTATATGTATAAGTAACTAAACGACCTTTTTAATTTTGATATCTAGTTACTATTGTACTTGTTTACATTATTTTGTATTTATTTTCATCTAAATAGATATTTTTTTATTGTCTTTAAAATTTAAACATTTTCACCAAAGATTTTCTGTATTTTATTGATTCTAAAATAGGTTGCAGCTTATTTAAACTTAAGAAGTAAAATACAGTATTTTAGAAAAACCTCAGAATTATTTCAGTATTGAAATTTGAAATACTTTACAAAAAAACCTCACTTGAATTAAAAAAGAATTATTTTATGGTATATTTTGACCAAATTTTATTTTCAAAAACATTGATTATTTTCAAAAAAGTTAACATACATTATATGTATGAACAATCAATCAGTCAACAACTGGCAAATTTTTTTTTTTTTTTTTTTTTTTTACTTACACTTTTTGTTTAGAGTCATTATTAGTTCCTTTTCATTATTATTTTTCATTAGTGTCAATGTATGTACTGACTATTTTTGACAATTAAAGTATTAAATTTGTGCTCGTGAATGTTTTGGAATTGTATGTTTGACTTACTTTTAAGTTTATTAACGGGGGAAACAACCAACCCGAACAACATTATAGTTAAAGGAACTCCACTGATGTAAACATAAAATTTTAATTTTATACATAAATCAGCTGGGGCACTTTAAACAGAGAAATGCAAAATATAATCGAGAAATATACTCGGAAAATACTTTGAAATTCGTATTTTTGTGCAATTCTTAGCCTGATTTGAGTGAAAAGCAATTTGCAATGCTTAGTATTTTAATTAGTTTATAACAAAAAAATATTGCTCTCTGTCTTCTATGCATTTATTGAAATATTTGTTTGCTAGTAATTTTAACATTTTTGTTACTTCTGTAATTTGATGAAATACATTGTATGTTTTGATTACATTAGAGAATGATGTTTATATCATAGTCAGACATAATATAATGGGACAAGCAATTGAGCAGTGCCATGACAAAACCAACATAATGGGTTTGCGGTCAGCATGGATCTTGACCAGCCTACGCATCCGGGCAGTCTGATCAGGATCCATGCTGTTCGTTTACCAACCCTATTGCAAGTAGAGAAAATGATAGCGAACAGCATGGATCCTGATCAGACTGCGCGGATGCGCAGGCTGATCTGGATCCATGCTGGTCGCAAACGCACTATGTTGGTTTTGTCATAACACAGCTCAATTGGAGTTTAGTGCTGCATAATCTTTTCATGCATTCAGACAGAGGCACATATATGGCTAATTTGATCTATATTTTGTCCTTTAGTATTTAAATAGTCATGACATGATGTTTTGAAAATTGATCAGTATATTTTTTTTATTAAAACAGCTTTATTTTATGACTGAATCACTATGCGTATGAAATGATGGCTGGTCAGTATAGAGCCAGGCCTGAGACTGCACCGATGTGTAGTCTCACCAGGATTTATACTGTAGACTTACTAAGCTTTCATCTCCAAAGTATTGAGTATTTCCAAAAGGGTTATAATAGACAATTCCAAAAATGGAAGGTGGACAAGTCCATTTAAGAAATTGAAGTTAAATTGACCAACTTTCCAAAGACATTATGTTCAACATTGATGTCTTGCCATTTCATAAAATGTTATTTTGGATGTTTATAATGTTGGAAACTAGGAAAGAGTAAAAAATTATAAGGAATGTTTTCTGGCTGTCTCTGTGCCTGTTTTCTCCTACACCACTTAATCAGTTTTAATAAAGTTTGACTGGAATTATTGAAATTATAACTTCTTGGGTATATGGGAAGAAATTTGACTTTTGACTGATGTATGATAACATGTAGAGTTAAAAGTGTTAAGTAACCTGCAGTCAATGTGGTGGACTGGGTTTATTTGGGGACATACATCATCATTCATAAATAAGGAATTCATTTTCTATGTGACACTGTCTGTTTTAAAGAAGGACATGGTATTTTTATACTTTATTTTATACAATGATTTATAGTTTTTCATGCATTATTGGTGTCATGTATGACATACATGTATATCTGCTGTATTAATATTGCATGCTGTGATTTCTTATATAATTTATATACATGTACAATGTATTATATCTTGTCTAGACTAGATTATGATTCCAGAGCCAGTAAAATATGTATGATTCCCTTGATAAATTGTGTGATACCATGAATAAGATCCATTAAATTATTGAATGATAGCATAATATAGATCTCCTGTATATTTTACAGAATAAGACAAAAACTTTTGATATATGATAAATATGATTGGCTTATGTTCTTATTTCTAGATATGTTTACAATAAATAATGATATTGTCCTGAAGATTTTAGGTTGTTAAATGAGATATAAGTAATAAGCTTTTTACTGTGCTCCTCTTTACTACCCACCATTTTTAGACCTGTCATGAAAGGTATATACAAATGTATGTTGTTCAAACAGCTACTGATATTTTTATACTTTTATAAATTCAAGTATATGATGTTTTGATTCCAAATTATGTTGTACATTTTGTAATGTGCCATTATATATATATTTACATATAGTATATTTATATCTTTTTTTACCCTGACAGATTCAGTACATAAATTGTTTGAAATTTTATGCCAAAGAAGTAATAGGATGATTGGGACATTTTTGCTTGAAATGAAATTCTTTACCAAATCAGTTAACATTGAAGGTATGTTTGAATCACACATCATATGTCACTGTCTATCCATGAATATTTACAAGTCACATATGCACAAGTATAAACCACATGTTAAAATAAAATAGGAAAACAGCAGATTTTCTATTACTTTCATGCCTTATGTTTTTAAGTAAATTCTAATGATTTTTTTCTGCATATTAAAATGTGCTCACTTATGAGGTCATCAAATCATGACATCACAATGTACATTCTGAAAAATATAATTTTAAAATTTTTCTCAAATTTTGTTAAAATTTAAAATGTGCAAAATAGCTATGTGCTTCCCATAATTTTGTACATTTTACTTGACAAAGCATATTTCTGGCCAAATTTCCATGCAAGTTTTGATATTATTCTTTTCACTTATAATCAAATATTGTTGTGCTGCAGTGAAATAAAATTTTGATGACTTCTAACTCTTCTAAAAAGCATGCATTAGAATTGCAGTCTGGACAATGGTGAATAGAGTTACAAAGACATGTGCTTTGATTTATACCTTCATGTGTGCTAGGGCTAAGTTTGATTTTGTTAAATGTAATTATTTGATTATGCAGAATTAATGTGGTAATAGTCTTTAACTTATTATTATGCAATTATTTTGTAATACATTGTGGAATGTGATGTGTTAGTGAACTGTTGTAATCACTGATAGCCTCTTGTATGTCAATCACATGTCCGAAACAGCTGCCTTTTTACCAGCCAGTGCTCTCTGACACTGAGTGATTATGGTTCAGACATCAAATAATTTGCCACTCACTAAAGATATCTTGCTAGCTTAATCAAGACTAGAAGCAACTGTACAATGGAAATGGAGGGGAAGAGTTTGATATCATTTTACAAAAAATTAATTTTCTAGAAATGTTTTTGATAATTTTTTTTGAGAGATATTAACTCAGCTTTCACAAGAATGAACCATATTTGACTATCTACCTTGGTTGTTCAGTTGATTAATCAAAAAATAAGTTGCCAGTGAGATTTGTTTTCACTTGTATATAATAATATAATACAGTGACCATATTGTGGTGTAGTATTAAGAGGTTAATACACGGCAGGAGAGGGCCGGAAGGTGATAATCGGCCCGCAAAATGAATAATGGACCCCGAGGGCTTTAGCCCGAGGGCCATTATTCATTCAGGGCCGATTATCACCTTCCGGCCCTACTCTGACGTGTATTAATGTCTTTAATACACTTGGTAGATCTAATAGTAGCATTTTAAAAAAAAACAACAACAACAAATACTTTGAAGTTCTTTTGTTAAAATCCTTGTCTACTCTTCTACTGCTCTTTACATAGATGTTTACTGTTTGTGTGTTCCTAGAGGCAAGTTTTATTTTCATTTTTTTTTCGGAATGAATTTGTCGTAGATCTATTATTTCTTCAAATTTCAATAGTAACAAAAATGTGTTTGTACTAAATACGCTTAAGCTCTCATAATAAAAATAAAGCGATTCGTGCTGACAAACTACTTTCACTTTTACAGTTAACTGTTTGATGACGTAAAATATGACGTCATTGTTTCAGTTTGTGCACGTGCACATGTTCTGCGGGCTGATAACTAGTTCTCGGCCCCGGGCCGCAAACTCATAATAGGTCACGTGACACTCATAATCAGTTGAAATCATAGGCAATTTTGTTACTATATATAGTAACAAGTGTATTAATATAGGGTAATGATAACCCTTTTTGTTCGTTGACATACTGTAACATTCATTTATTTATCTGTTCAAATGTTTGATTTATATCTAATATATTTTATAATTTTTTATTTTATTTCACCTTTTCAAATAAAATTATTTCAGTAATTTACATACATTTTAGTTTGTTGTTTTTATAGTTGAACTATACACTAATGATTTTATGTTTGCTCAAGATGCCCTCTGAGATTTGCTTTATCTTGCAAATAAGTCTGTGCAAGACATATTCACATTGAAATATTAAGTTGATGTCATCTAGGAAGCATAGGTTACAGTTTTATTGAGTTTCTCGCCAGTTTTAATAGCAGTTTAGTCATATTTAAGCTGACTCAGGTGCCTAACAAGTGTTTCTTGTTCATAAATCTGTATGTACCTACCTGTTACAGCAAGTTTCCAACTTGAAGTATTTCAGGGATTATGGTTAATTAGCATTGCTTAAAGTTTCATCATCATACTAATTGCTATGGTAAAACATGATGGGTCCATGGCTGCGCTTCATAGAAAGTCTTAAGTGAATCCTAAGTCCTGGGACGTAAAACAATTTTAGGACTAACTCAAGACCATTCCAATAAATGGTTTTACCTTCAGGTAAAGATTGTAGACTATAATTAAAATCATTTTCCTGAGTAAAGTTCAGAAATACATTGACAAACCGTTTTTATTTGCTATGTGATTAATCTATTGTATTACTATTCAGAAATGAAAAGAGCCATGAAATAGGAATTATAAGTCTGGACATTTTTAAACACGAAATTAACTCAATTTTGGTCTTGGGACATTAGGACATGAAATGCAGCCCAGGACTCAAACTCACTATACTGAATGCCCTACCAAGCTGATTGAAGCAAGTACAACAAATATTAGGAAGAAAGAATGTTATGCCCTGTAAAAGAACTTCATGTAGATGAATTATGAATGATTTTTAACTCATTTATATTAAGTTAATGAAAAGTTATTCCACACACTTGTCAAAATTATCTTTCCAGTTTCAGCACCATATCACCTGAATTGTATTAGTGTGTCATAAAACCAAACAAAACACAACCTGTCCATGTCCAAATTTGTGATTGAAATTTTTGTGAAGTAAAATATTGTTTAGCTTTCCTGAGCACACAGTGCTCAGGGGTTAGCTGTACAGATACACTGCCAACTTTTTCTGTTTCTGTTTGTAAGTGATCATACTTCTGCATAAGGTTATAGTAATTTTCTCCTTAAAATTTTTATTAACTAAACAATCTATATCCTAATATATGTTTTTAATAGTCAGGGCCGAGTTGACCTGTGCCAATTAAGTTGGTATAGGGCCGAGTTGACCCTTCACCCTCATTTTTCATGAAGAAAAATTGTGAACTTTTCTTCGAGACACATATCACTCTTGATTCTATCACACATATAACCACATATATATAGACACACATATAGATTTTAACCACTTTATCATTACGACCAACAGAAAGTACTGTATATGCAGCAAGGACGCCTTACGAAAAGGTCATTATGCCAATAAGAAAAGGAAATTATTTAGCGTGTGTCAGCCTACAAATCGACCGTATATGTATAGTGGTGTTCAACCCAAGAGGCAGGGATCAACAAACAATTTAATCTAAAATTTTAAGCAATGTCATCATCAGTGGGGCCATTAGTTGGAGCAGTTGATCAGGGAACAAGTAGTACAAGGTTTCTGGTAAGACTTGCACTATTTACAAATATCTTTTTAGGATAGACGACCTCTGAACTCGGAATAATTCACAACACAGGACATGTTTCGGATGTCACCAGTTTGTCCGAATATAAGTAGATCTAGTTTACGTACACAGAAATAGTTGGTAAAGAAGTGAAGTTTGATATGTATTACTGGGACAACTCATGTTTTGATAGGAGGAATCTTTTTATTGTTATATCATTTATCAACTTACTCGAGCCTAAATCAAAATATATTGACAGCCAGATATGTTTGTTCTGGTTCAGAATCTCGTTTGTGCAGGGCCGCATTCAGAATCTCTTTTCTGCAGGGCCGGCAAAATCAATTGTCCGTATTGTTCAGGTTGTCCCACAGCCTGTACGGACAAGTGAAGATATTCAAGAATTAACTATGTAAATATTATACAGATAAAACTGGAAAAGTAAGTCAAAAGGGGCGTCCGTGGCCGGGTGGTTATGGTCGTTGACTTCAAACCACTTGCCCCTCACCGCTGTGGGTTCGAATCCCTACAGGGACTTTGGATTCTTTCATGTGAGGAAGCTATCCAGCTAGCTTACGGAACGTCGGTGGTTCTACTCAGGTGCCCGTTCGTGCCTGAAATAATGCACGGAAGGGCACCTGAGGTCTTCCTCCACCAGTAAAGCTGGAACGTCGCGATATGACCTATACTGTGTCGATGTGACGTAAAACCAAAAACAAACAAAGTAAGTCAAAATCAGATTTTGCCGGCCCTGTTCATGGGGGCAGCACGAAATACGAAAATATACCCAAATACACCCAAATATTGCCCAATTATACTAAAAATAAATGTTTTATACTAAAAAAGTGCTGTTTTAATCATGAATACAATATACACTTTCACTAAGATATAATTAAACATACCCAAATATACATTTTCCTATCATTGTGTTTTAAACCAAAATACGTACAGTATATGTACATGTACTCCATTGAAGCTATTTTTTTAAAATAAAATGGACACTTGTATATCATATGAAATTTCAACAAAATTACACCTTAAAAATGTAAGTGTAGACAACAAATATCATATCTTGATTTAAAATTGCAAGTACATTCATAATGAACCTATATAGTAGATAAGCAATGTCACAACTTTATTTTCTAACAACATCTTAACTGCCCATTTCAACGGAATGAATGCAAGTTATAGCAGGCTAAGTCATTTTATTTTATAAATATTTATTTATTTCTCATTATAATCTATATTTTATACAAACAAAAATAATTATTGCTATATTTTGGTGTATTTGGGTATTTCGTGCCGCCGGTTCAGGGGAGAATATATTGTTCATACACTGTAATAGCACAATATCTCATTGTTTACAATAAGTTGAACTTAATCAAACCATGCATATTTTATGGACACATTTCTAGTATCTATCTATCTTCCGTTAATGTCAAACCTCTCGCAGGGGAGTAGACATGTATTTTATTACCTTGAACTTCAACCTACCAAACAAAATGCAATGGCAGTCAGCAAAATAACATTTTTATATGCCCGAACGAATTTCGGGCATATTATGTTATACCCCCTGGCGTCCATCTGTCCATCCTTTAGCAATTTGGTTTCCGGAGCATAACTTAAGTTCCATTTGGCCTACAATATTCAAACTTCATAGGATGATTGTTTATATTGGTACAAGACCCCTATTGATTTTGGGGTCACAAGGTCAAAGGTCAAGGTCACTATTACTTTAAAACTGAAAACAGTTTTTGGAGCATAACTTATGTTCCATTTGGCCAACAGTGTTCAAACTTCATATGATGATTGTCCATATTAGGTAGAAGACCCCTATTGATTTTGGGGTCACAAGGTCAAAGGTCAAGGTCACTATTACCTTAAAACTGAAAACAGTTTCTGGGGCATAACTTAAGTTCCATTTGGCCCACAGTGTTCAAACTTCATAGGATGTTTGTCCATATTGGGTAGAAGACTCCTACTGATTTTGGGGTCACAAGGTCAAAGGTCAAGGTCACTTTAACCTTAAAACTGAAAACAGTTTTCAGAGTATAACTTAGGTTCCATGGATGTAATACTTTATTTAATTCCCATGTCTTACAAATGCTTCATCTTTACTAAAAAAAGAAAGTCACTTTACGGTATATAATGCTCCGCCTAGCGGTGCTCTTGTTATGGCTTACTACCATCTAGTTACTGGATAATCTATACTGGCAAGAGTTCACTATTTCTGAGATGAGCAACACAAAATAGTTCTCTTCAAATGCTATTAAGTTTACTGTTTGTGCTTTGAAATAAATATCTTTTAGTTAGATTAAATTTTTTCCTATGTATGTTATCATTTTCGATATTGTAAACAATATAAATTAATTTTATTTTAATTTGAATAAACTCAAAACCCAACCCGAATGAATATTACAAGCAAAATGCAGCGCCATGTTTAAGTCAAGTTTGAAATGAAGGTATACATGCCATAAGGTTTACAAAGCCTTAAAGCTACATTTAATAAATTTCATAAAAAGAGAAATATCGACATTTCATTAATAAATTGGGTTTCATATCGACTCCAGATCTTATTTTAGTGTTCAGACAACCAAAATGAGTTTTATAAGCATAAAATTGGGCAACCTCATTGTGGCGAAATCGGAAGTACAATTTCTGTTTGCACGAGAAACTCCGCCTTCAGATCATCCGTACATCAATATTAAATCCACAAACATGACTATGAGTAGCAGTCCTCATGTAACGGTATATTTCCGCACTGTAACGGATGTTTTCATACAAATTTAATCTTTTTTATGAGATGATTACTTTTTTCTGAACCTCAGGCCTAGTGCACCGTGAAGCTAAAACGGTTAAAGTTTGTTTGCACAAGAAATTCTCGTATTTGCTGTGTTCCGGATAGCAACTATAACACTGTGACGTAACGCATACACAAGCTGATTATAATCTTCATTTGCATGTTAAAATTCGTATACGAACTTTAGTGTTACCGTGGGGTAAAAACTTTTCCGTTAAAAATCTTTATTTATGAACAATATTTCATGAGATTTACAACAATACTGTTAAAAAGGTTGATGAAACTGTAGAATGCTTGAGTTTTAGGCCGACGGCAAAATATTTTTACATATTTATTTAATGTAGCTTTAACACTTAAAAAAAAGGATAGAAAAACTGTTAATAATTATTGACATACGGTTGCTGATCAATGCCCCACCCCCAAAATAAAAGTGTCCCGGAAATAAGCCTTAAAATTATGGCATGTATGATGAAGGGAAGAGAACTCTAATGTGGATATGACTAAATACGCAACAGTGATTTTTTGGCGCAATGGACATAATTTATTTAGCAAAACAGGCGCAACATTTGCTTTTAAAATTTAAGTAATAAAACAGATTAACTGAGTGAAAAGTGTAACTTTGTTTGAAAATGTATCACAAGTAGTTGCTATAGGTTGTTTTAAAGGATTCTATGACACTGAAAGTGATGCCTTTTTTCTCTAAACTTGAATAACATCATGACCATGATGCTTTTCTATCCACTTTATAGTCATAACATACCAGTAAGCTATTATGCCCCTTAAGGCTTTGATTAAGTCATAGGCAATTTGGGCCTTCATCCTAGGCGAAGGAATAGGCACGGACAGGTTTGTACAGGTCCAAAATATTTATCGTGCAAATTAAAGACAACAATTTATTTTATGTTTTATTGACTACAACTAGGTTCATTTTAGGAATAAAACCATGCAAAATCAGTCAGTCACTTTTTAATTAAAATTCTCTTTATCTGTACATTTATACTCAACCTTACACGTTGATCTGCTGCTTTCTACTTTATTTGTTTGAAATATGAAAACAAATATCAACATGGAAGGTGGCATTGCATGAACACTTCCCCAAACAAAACCCAGTCATACAGTTTAACTTTCAATTATTCACGATTATTGTCCGTATTATTTATGCTAACCAAGCACATAAGCAAATAAATATAGTTTATCATAATGCATAATTACGTGCCATAGTCACATTATCATATTATGATGTTCATACACTAATGAATTACACAACAGTTTCGGAAGAATTGAAACTGAAACTAGCTTTTTAAAACATTCATTCCAGTTTAAATTGGAATTTTGCAGGCCCATATTGGATTTTACATGCAGCGGTCATCTGGCGTGTGCCCTATTTCACATTATGCAATGGCCCTAACCAACAAAACGTAATGTTTTTAGTAAATTTTGTGGCCTGCAATTGCTTTCTGTAAGGGCATTCTAAAAAAATATCAACCTTTTCTTTGTGTTTCAGATTTTTTCAAGCAAAAATGCTGAACTTGTGACCTATCACCAGACAGAAATCCAACAAAAATGTCCACATGAAGGGTAACATATATGATCTTAGCTTCAACCAGTTTGTTAGAACATTATTATATAAAGTTATGTAGACACAGTCTGTCTTATTTAACAAAATAGTCAAACATATTTATTCATATTTCAATACTTTTCACAATACTTGCATTAATACTAAGCATACTAGCAAGGCCAAGATAAGCAAGCTCATCTGTTCTGTTTAATCATGGTCTGCATTGTTCACTAATTTGGTCAATACATGAATAGTTGATGAATGGTTTTGTCGGAAAGTGTATTTACCGGTAAGGCTCCCACGTTTACAATTTTTTGTAAACGTTTACACGATTGCTTAGAACCGAAACGATACCGTTTAAACGGTGGTACCTCTATGTACTATACACACCATGTATTTGAGTCGCAAAATGATGTCTTTCTTTCTATTTTTAATACATGTACAAATAAAGAATGTGAAAGGCTCATCACGATTGAGCCAGCACACATTTTTTGCATTGTAACCCCATTTTTTACCAAAAAATGTATTATGTCACGAGCAATTTTGCACCGTAATGCTGTTTGGAGGGTTGTAAACACATATTTTCCGTTTGTTTACTTTGGAATAAACCATTAGAATTGATAAAATCCATGATTACAGGCAATGATTAAGAAATTTTGTAAGACAATATGGTCATTTCGATTAAACGGTAAACAATATCGTAAATGTTATGAATGAAATCGAAACGAATCCGTTTAAACGTGTAATCGTGGGGGCCTTATTTACCGGTAAGATATTTTTATTGACTTTCTTCTGTTTAACATATGTCTGTAACAGTTACTGCATCTACATGTAAAGTTTAATGACATGAAACTGTAACAATGTACTGTACATGTATTTCCAAACAAATAAAAACTCATTGTGTAGTAGCTCTTAAATCAATGAGGTTGAAAGCTACAGTAATCATTAATGCTTTTAACATTTATACAGATGGGTAGAAGAAGATCCTGTAGAGATATTAGAATCAGTGAAGACATGTATTGCTAAAGCTGTAGACAATCTGAAGGCTCTAAACATCAGCCACACTGACATCAAATGTAAGTTTAGATATATACATGAAATATAAATACAAAGCATTTAATTATAGAAATAATCAGATATGATTATAGTTCTAGAAATAATCAGATATGATTATAGTTCTAATACTGCATGTTTTAAAGGCTTTTTTTCATTGGAGGAATGTGACATTAGTATGATCCGTATAATCTAAAGAATTTCAATATAAAATACATACAGTGAACTTCTTACTTGTTTTTACTCATCGTCGGATACCCACGATTGATAAACATGTTACATAACATGCAATCAACCGTGGGTAAAATGAATCGATTTGCGTTGATATACAGCAACAGGTGCGTAAAATATCTACCAATGACATCGCGTTTAACATCGTCGGATACCCACGATTGATAAACATGTTACATAACATGCAATGTTAATGGTTCGGCCGTGGGTATCCGACGATGGTTTTTACTGTGTGTGAGTGAAAATGGGGTTGGGGGGGGGGGGGCTTGCTCTATACTGGTTGCAAAGAGTAATCATTTCATATTCCAGCAGGTCAAGGGTAAAGAATAAGTAGAATTTTAATGTAACTTCTCAATTTTGTTTGTATGACAGTGTGCACAATAGCTCAAACAAATGTAATGTCATCAACTCTAATATTATGTTGTGTTCAATCTGGTCTTACCATATGTATGCTATAAAAATACAAAATTATAAAACTACCTTAACAAACTTTTCAGCGGTTGACATAAGATGCATGTTTTGATATTAAAGATTTTTATCTGTTGACAAAAGTCTCCTGGATGTCTTGTTTTCATGAGAATTTTGTAATAACTCTGTTATGAGGATATTTTGGTATTGTTTAATGATTATACATGTATTTGAATATACACACCTTCTGTTTGATGTAGGTATTGGTATAACAAACCAAAGAGAGACAACTGTAGTATGGGATAAAGTTACTGGAGAGCCCCTGCATAATGCTATTGGTAGTATTCTTTTCCTTTATTTATTTCCACAAGAAAAATTATTAACAATTATTCATATCTTCAAAAAAATTTGCTTGTATTGTCTACCATGACACATAATTAAACCACCTTTTATATACATGTACTTTAATTTTGTCATTGTTTGTTTATTTAGTCTGTGTTTAGATAAAGGAAATTCTATTTTGAGGAGTTTGCCTAGTTGTATTCATGTGAAATATTTTCTAAAGAATTGTTTAATTTCTGATAATTGTAGATTTTTTTCAACAAATTAACTTAAGAAAAGTCATATTGTGTACAAAAGACAAAATTTTGTAATATTGTGATAATTTTAGCACACAAACACTTACTTACATTAATAATTTAATGGAAAGGGATTTTTGTATTTATTGTTTAGTATGGTTGGACCTTAGGACATCATCTACTGTGGAGAAACTTATTGCAAAGACACCTCATAAAAACAAGGATCATCTTAGGGTAAGTTCAAACTTCAGTTTCTAGAATTGTATAGGAAATCATAACATTAGAAAAAAGACTAGTTTGATGATTTCTATAAAAAGAATAACAAAATGCATGTAAGTCATTTTATACACTTGATGTTCAGTCTCTATTTGGAACAGTCCATTCATCTCAAGTTTAAGGGATTATAGTATGAAAAAAGAAATGAGTAAACAAAAGTAAAGAGCCCCGTCAGACTGCATAGATATACAGGCTGGCCTGACTCTATACTGGTGACAAAAGGTTAATTACTTCTTGTTACTGCAAGTAAAGGTTGAAAGTCAACTAATTGTGAATTTGCTTAATAAGAATATAGATATCGATGTGCAAGATTTTTATGAAGTAAGCTGAATTTATTTCTTAAAATGCTTCTGTTCTCAAGATAAGTTAGTTTGCAATAAGGCCAAGCTATTTAGATATAAACTGCAATAAGAGCATAAAGTTATCTGTGAAATATAATTCAAACAGAAGAAAATAAAAATGGTATAGAATGATAAGCTGGAGTTATTTTCCAGCCTCTTTGTGGATTGCCTATAACAACCTACTTTAGTGCAGTGAAGCTGAGATGGTTGCTAGACAACAGTCCAAAGGTTGCCAAGGCAGCAGCAGAGGGCCGGTGTTTGTTTGGGACTGTTGATTCCTGGTTACTATGGGTAGGAAAATTTACTCAGTTATAAGCAGATAGTACATGATTCATATTTGAAGACAAAAAAAAAAAAAAGGAAACATGTTTACAGATACATATTGATTTTGTTTTAGATTGCAGTTTTACAATATGCTTCCAAAGACTTGGTCACACAGAGGTAGAAAAATACAGCTCAAAGTCATTGTGAGATACCAATCTACTACAGTGGTTTAAACTTACAGCCAACTCAGTAATGTCCAAAATTTTCTTGGCGATGAGGGGGACTCCGCCCCCCTTCAAACCCCCCAAACAGAAGGGGGCACATCCCCCTTCTGGCAACCCCCTGATGTAACATTTGGATGCAGGACGGCGCCGAAAAAGTGGTCACTTTTTTTAACAACATTTTACAAACGAAAACCAGTGTTGGGGGCCTAAATAGGGCATTTTTTCACTGTTTGAGGCCTCAAAAAGGAGGGGGGGGGGGGGGGCAAAAAGCCGTCGAAACACGCTTATATGAGGGAAAAGGTTAAGAAACACGTATCAAAATATGATAATTTCATAAATGAATTGTCAGAACTTACATATACATATATGCATGAATTTCTGAATTTGTGACTAAAAAATTTGATCATAGATAATGAATGAGTTCTCTATAGTCTATAGAGGTAATACCAAACCTCAGTTACTGTGTACAGTCATGGTTCAGAATGTAGTAGTTACAATGTACAATGTACACAACATATTTTTAGTTCAAAAATATGTTGAAAATTGTTAGCATATATAACCATAACATGCATTATTATAATTGTTTATATATTTAGAATTTAACTGGTGGGAAGGAGGGAGGTCAGCATATTACAGATGTAACAAATGCTAGTCGTACCATGTTGATGAATATACAAGACCTCAAATGGGATGATAAACTTTGTCAGTAAGTTCACAAAATACATCTTGTTAACACTACTTTATGTATAATATATTACCAGATGTAGATAATTTTATATTAAGTATTGGTATTTCAGATGACATTCGTTTATCAAAATATGTTAGCAATATTGTAGAACCTTTCCATATTTTCTGAAAGTGTTTTTTAGTTTGTACTTGGATAACTGTTTGATTTTAATATGAAAATGGACACCTTGCTTTTCCTGCATTTCTTACCTCTTTAGGTTTGTTTATTATACATGTATACAGTTTCAATCCTGTGATATGAAGCTTGTAAAAAGCAAATAAAAATATATTTTACATTCTCCAAATACTTTAAGAATGAGGTTAGTTAGTTAATAATTTATTTATGTGAAAAGGTTGTCTCTATAAAGATTTTTGTACTGGGTATTTAGCTCTACTACTGACAGAGAAGTGGGAGCTATCCTACCCACTCCAGCATAAGCATTGGCATTTATACAACACTTGATTTAGGCTACCTATGCAGCTTCTTTACTCTTTTTACAGCAAAATACATTTATTTAATACTTCACACATGTCTACAATTCCAATGTTTAAGACTTTTAAAACCAGTATCAACTTTAACTATGTGAAATTAAAAAAAACTCAGTGTAAGATCTATCTGCACAGCCACTGAACTGACGGAAGATATGGAGTACATTATACTTAGCACAAGTCTTTATCTTAATAATTGTAGGTCTTTATCTATGTCCTATAACTCTAGCTGAGATTTTACTTAATTACACACAAATATGTATTAAGAATAGCAAAAATTCTTGACTAATTTTGATGTCAATTGGGTTATTATATTACATATTCAAGTTGAATACCTTTTTGTTTTTATAGGTTTTTTGAGATCAACAAAGACATGTTGCCAGAGATAAGAAGTTCAGCTGAAAAATATGGAAATCTTGTTGATGGACCATTAAAAGGACTACCAATATCAGGGGTATAAATTAATTTTACAAGTTTTACACCTTGTAGATGTTCATTATCTACATCAGAATTCTTCTGTGACCATCACACCATTAAACACTAGAATGTTGTCATATGACATGGATGACATATAGTTCATCTCCATGCCACTAAGAATAATTTATTGTCTCACAATTATGCTTTAAATTGGTTGCACATTGCAGCATCCTCATCTTATAATTTGTGGCTTCACTATTTGAACTGTGTTATTGTGCACTGGTTCCCAGCAACACTGACATACATTACTGACACTGTGATAATTAATATATTTGAACAAAATGTATGATTATTAATATATATATATATAATTTATGTATGATAATATATATAATATTAGTATGAAAATGATAATATAGATAATATTAGTATGATAAATTAATTAATAAAATAATACATGTATAATCTATGTATGATATTATATATAATCCATGTATGATAATTAATATAAATGTTAAACATATATTGTAACGATTACTTCAGATTCTTGGGGACCAGCAAGCAGCTTTAGTTGGACAACTGTGCTTCAAACCTGGACAAGCCAAAAATACGTATGTTTTTTTTCCTTAATTTTTTATTGCTGAATTCCATAACCTAGTAGCATTAAGTCATAATCAGAAGGATCCTATAGATTTAAAGAAAGTTTATTGTCATTCACACATCATTTGAGATAATTGGATTTTTCTCAAAAATTTAGATCAGTCTGTATCAGGCACATGGGCTTGTTCCATTGATAATTGTATGATGCTTGTTCAGTTTTTTAGAGTGGACTATGGATTCTTTCCTATGAGGAAGCTATCCCAGCTAGCTTTTGGAAACCTTAATGTTTCTACTTCGTTGGTCACCTGTGCCTGAAATGTACAGCAGTGATTAATCTAGTAATTACTTACAATGCGTCTGATGACGCACATATTTGAAAACAATGAGCAAAATCAATGAGTCATGTAGCAAAATAAATGAATATTAGTAAAAAAAAAAACATATTTAATAGCAGGTCCTAGATGATTTGCTCGAATTTTTTATCAAGGGATTAAGTATATAAAAATTTATTTCTGTACCAAATTGAGATAAAAAAATTTCGCATGTATATGCACGGCATTAATCAGTAATCAGACGATGTATGTCATAACACCTAGACATGCCAAAATGTTGAATGACTGTTTATTGTTGTTGTTTTTTTTTGTTGTTTTTTTTTCATAAAATTTTGACATTTTTTTGGACTCTAGTTTAATATATAAATCAACATCTTTGTTGAGTTTATAATTTTTTTTAATTAAAGAGCATGCATTCTTACTCTGTTATAAAATTCTGTGACTTGACATTAACAAGCGTATATTCAAGTTAATTAGCAGGGAATTCCCCAGGATTTTTTTTAAGCGCTACATTTTTTGAATTAGACGGGGGTGGGTGCGGGAGGGGGTCTTGACCCCCATACCGCGTGTCGAAAATTTTTGCCATTTTAGGTGTCTAGATACTGCTGTGGGCTGTTTTAAAACAAATAATGAAAGCTTTACACTTGATAAACATTTTCTTAATTTTTATTATTTACTTTTTCCATTTCCAACAATTCAAATAAATAAACAATTATATATAAACACAAGTTCACAACATGTGATCAACATTTATATGTATGTGTGTGTCCCATTTAAATGAGTATATTTCAGTTGTTTTTTCTTCATTAACATCATTAAAAGTGGGCCTGTCTTCTAGGTTTGTTGTCCTTCCATGCCTTGACTGCCTTCTCAAAGTTGAAAGATTCTAATGGGAGTCCTTTAAGGGAAACAGCAAGAAGATAGTTTAGAACTTTAACAGAGAGACAATTCCTGTTTTCAGTCTTAACTCTCTTCAGGCAGCTGAATCCTCGCTCACAATCTGAAATTAATAAATGAAAGTAATCATTTGTTAACCTCATGTCTTTTATTTATATTGTTTGCTGTGAATTTTTGAAAATTTAAAACTTCCAGCCTGTTTAAACTTAACTAAGTATTTGAAATGTTGAAAAACTTCTAGCAAAGTGTTACACATCTGCAACTGTCATTGGAATTTCATTAATGTTCAAGAATGAATGAATTTAATAATAATTACCTGCAGTAGAGGTTGGGAGGAGGAGACCCACAGCAGCAATTCTGTAAAGAGCTGTATGACTGGTAGAAAGGTTGCCAGTAATCCAGGTCATGGTCCGGTCGGCTGACTGATCAGTCCCCTCTAGACTGGCACGTACCTGGTGCAAGTGGCTGCGGCACTGCTCCATATCTACACTAAAGTGCCTGGCCAGCTCCTGTATGTCCTGACAAACCAATGCTAAGGGATAGGACAGTAGATTGCACTTCACAAGGCTGTCCATGAACAGGCTCAGTTAAAGAGGGCCTGCAAAATTAATATTTTTTTCATTTTGGGGATTCAGTGAACAGAAACAGATTACAAGATATTTTATATTAAAAAAGAAAATGACCAATTGGCTGTCACTAAGTGGGATTGTTGATGTAAAGTTTTTGTTGTTGTTTTCACTCAGTTGCAAGTTGATAATGAACAGTTGTAAATGTTCTCAATGTTAAAGTAGCCATCAACCAAATTTATTTCTGAATATCTTTCCAGTTTAACACTGTTTAATCCAAGTAAAATACGATTATCATGTACATGTAGGCCCTATATATTAAAAAGCAAAATGATCTTGAGGCAGTTTCAAAGACTTTGCTCACAAAAAAACTCTTAAAATTGATAGTGAACTAGGCTTCCCTTATTCATGTTAGACATGTTATTTTGTGAAATCTTAATACTACAGTCCTGCCAGTAGACGTAACGATCATAAGAAAGTGAAAGATGAAATTGAACATTACACTTAAATCAAGACAATTAACCCATTCATCCCTAAATATCAAACTGTTATATCGCATGTCAATTAATGCCAATTATATTATAAAAACAATAAAAGTTATTACACCTACCTGAAACATGTAAATATCACACATGCCGCGGTTAAATTGCACCCATCTCAATACACGGTAATTGACAACTCCTGAAAGTGCACCAACAGTCGTCTGCAGACATCGTTGACAGGTGTCTGTGACGTCACACAGTCTAAAGGCAATCAGTGTATCGGGTTGTGTATACGCCTCGGGTAATTATCTACACAGGACATGTATATTGGCTTGTTTATTTGGCTAATTGGGGTTAACTTATAGACACAATAGAAAGGAATATCGGTCATTTTTTAAAAGCGCTATGATAATTTTAAGCGCATCGGGATTTCTTGTTCTGAAATTTTAGCGCATCGGTGCCGATGCGCTAAAAGCGCCTGGGGAATTCCCTGAATTAGATTTGAAAATTACATTTGCTATTATTATCACTCCAGATATAAAAAAAAAATGTACAGTAGGCTAGCTAAAATAAAACCCACATCAAGACATTTAAATTTTAATCAGGTTATTTTGAAAAAGTTCAAAGACTTGATAGATCTTTGATCTCATTAAAGAAGCATGCTGACAATCACCAGTTGAATATAATTGGGTCATTTACCATGTGATGAATCTTGTTTTATTTTAACATTGTCCGCTTGAGATATTAAACAACTGTAAATATTTACATATTTAGAATGGATAATAGATATTATGTTTATTTTGTGTGAAAAAAATATACCTCAAGCATTGAATCATTTTGTTTGATATTTGACCATTGAAGGCGGTCGATCGATTCCCTTTCATGCAAAAGGGACGCTCTGATTGGCTAATGCCAATAATGGGTGGTAACCGATCACAAGCAACAATTGTTTGGGATTTAACGTTTCTGCAAATGGGGGATGAGTCTTGCACCTGTGATTGTCTGAAATTAAATTATCCAGATGAAGAAATTGATAAATTATTCAACTGATGAAATTAAAATAATAAAACTGTACATAGAAATCACTGTGATATTTTGGATTATAAATTGCCAGATTTGCATGCATCAAATTGGATGCACATACTTTGAAACTGTGCATCTTTTTTTTATTTTTATGCATATTTTATGCAGGATGCACATCCAGATTAATCACTGGTACGGAGAGGCACCTGAGGTGTACCTCCACCAGTAAACCTGGAAAGTTGCCATATGACCTTTACAGTGTTGGTGTTATAATAATATACCCCTCCCCCCCCCCCCCCCAAAAAAAAAAAAGAGAAAAAAAACCACAAAAAAACTATTTACTTTATTTTGACTTTATATACTTGTTTTGTTCTCAGATATGGAACTGGCTGTTTTCTGTTGATGAATACTGGAAATGAGGTATTTTTTTTCTAAAATTTAGTTTGTTTCTCCTGATTATGTAATGTTTATTATCTTGTGTTAAGTTGCATTGTATAAATCTACCATATAATAAAAGTTAATGATGTCAAGTTTGTATTATCTTAAAGGAATATCTTTATAGAAACAAAGGATTGTTTTGTTTAAAATGACTAAAAGTATGAAATTTATTTCTACATTGTGTATTCATTCCCATTATGTTATTTTTAACCTTATGTTTTGGCAATACTGTGGCTTTTTAAAGTAGGTTTAAGTATTGTTGTAAAAGTATTTGATAGTTATTTTTTTATCTTTTTCAGCTTGTACATTCTAACAATGGTTTGCTAACAACAGTAGGCTATCAACTAGGACCAAATAAACCTGTGGTGTACGCTCTAGAGGTGTGTTATTATATTGTAACTGTACAGTGTAATTTATATTATAGCTTAGTGATATTCTACTGTAGTAGTTTATACAGAGACCAGTTACTAAAGTAAAAAAAAAAAATCCTATACACTGATAAATTGGATTGATTGAAAAATATATGTTTTGTGTTAAGATTTTACAGGTCAAATGATTAAATATCTGCAAGCCAAATTACTGGCTATTGTAAACAGGTAATGGTTTTAAAGGAAAGATAGCTAGAAGGAAATCTATGTATACAAAAAAGTACAAGACCAATAAAAAACCCAGCATTTTAATGTTACAATATTGAAAGATACCTTAATGAATTATCTGTTAAAGGTTTATAAATTATCTTCTTATCTAGCAAGAATACAATGTCATAAACCATTGAAAATACTGGTATTGATCATTGCAATATATTGCAAAGATATGATTGGCCAACAGACATGACTGTATTTCTTTGATTTATTAAGCTGCCTATTTATAAGCTATGTTATATATATTGTAGGGAGCTATTGCTATTGCTGGAGCATGTGTGCGGTGGCTGAGAGATAACCTTGGTATCATACAAACATCCCAGGAGATAGGTACAGTAACTATTACATTACTTGTACTTTGGAACAGTTCATTTATAGTACAATGGGATCTTTTTTTGTCAGAATGCTGAGATCAAGTTGTATTTTATCACATAAACTGTAGCACAGGAGTGTAATAAAGCTATTTAATCAAAACAATATTACACTAGTATAATAACATTTGTGACGACATTGCGTTATATACAAACATAAAGTAAAAATGTGCTAATCAATATTCTCTGTTGACCTTCTATCAAATTATATCCCTGCCAAATAATAAGACTAGACAGAATTACATTCCTATTTAAGACAAGATATTTAAATGCACTAAATTTGTCTACTTGATAAAATAGGATTAGTTTTGAATGTTTATCAAATAGGTAGATGAATATTAATTTGACTTCATCAGTTCTATAAATACAAGCTCTAATGTACAACCATAAACTGAGAGAATAAAAATGATAATGACAAGAAACAAAGATTGTTTAAAGTAATGATTGATTATTTCAATGTTATAGAGAAGTTAGCAGAGAAGGTTGACAGCACACATGGATGTTATTTTGTGCCAGCATTTTCTGGATTGTTCTGTCCATACTGGCAAAATGATGCACGAGGGTAAGTATGCATAATAATTTTTACAAAACAATAGTTTAAAGCTGCAGGCCTTAAGATTTGACAAAATAATTCAAGAAAATCTAACCTCATGAAGGGGGGTTGTTGGTGGAATGTACTAAGATTTTAAAACAAGTAAAAAGATTCAAGTAATAATTTACTATATAATTTCAGTCTTGGATGTTTTACTACTTTGTTACATTTTCAGAAGCAAAAGTATTGGAAATTATTATCAAATATAATTATACTTACTTAATAAGATTTGTATTTTGTAAATACAATTTCGAGAAAAAAAAACTGGTTTTAAATGTTATTATTATTACTATTGAAATGTATCCTATATACACGTATATATCGTACTAACATTATGTTACATATATCTTCAGTATAGTATGTGGTTTGTCTCAGTTTACAACAAAAGAACATATTGCCAGAGCTGCACTTGAGGCTGTTTGCTTTCAAACCAGAGAGGTATGTCATTCTTTTTCCTCTGCAACATACATGTATATTAATTAATTTTTGTGCAGGTACTTTTACCCTACATGGAAATTTTGATATATATAAAAAGATAAGGCAAAATATTACGACATTTTATTATGAAAGATCATAAATATTGACACACAGGGTAATGTATATTTTGAAGGCGCCTTATTTATTGATTTGTTAGTTGTTTTGTGTTATTGTTGGAAAAATGCTTTTGAAATTTAGCTTTGGGAGATATCTGTGTATAATTAGAGTGTCTTATTGAAGCATGAAGTATAAAATACACAAACTTAATGTAGCTACCGACCTTGTTTGAATTTATTCCATGTCTTTTGTATAAATGTGCAATAGGTTATAAATTTTGTCCACAACCTGATTGCCAGAATCCGCCTAGAATTAGCAAGTTGTAACTTTTGTATGAAAGATTATAATTCTGTCACTGTTCACTCCTATATTTATACTTGATATGTTTTAACAGTTACTTGTGGCAATGAATCAAGACAGTGGGATACCTCTAAAGTCTATACAGGTAGATGGAGGTATGACTGCCAATAATTTACTGATGCAGATACAGGCTGACTTGATGGGAATAGATGTTGGTATGTTAATTTGTGGAATAAAATGATCTATGGTTTCCAAAAAAAGTCTGTACTTAGCTCATTATATAGATATTGATAGATTATAATGTTTATGTTGTCATTATTGTTTCTAGTTTGCTTTAATATCTTATAAATTGAAATAATAAAGGTGAGGAACACACGCACACAACACCAGGTCAAGTTTCAAGATTTTATTGGCTACTAGTTTCAAGTAATATAATACTCTTCATCAGGCATAGATTAAGTAAAAGCAAGATCCAGTATCTATTGCTTTTTGGTAGTGGTATGTAAAAAAGAAATGTCATTGATAGGAAAAGTTGATATTAATACCATACATAATGTACTGAATTATCAGTGTTAGAGATGATTGATAAAGGAGGTACATATCATTTGTAAATTTTTACTTTCAGCACAAGTTAATATTTTTTTTTTATATCATACAAATGTGATATTTTAAAAATGAGCTATTGATTACTGTAATAAGAGTAATATGACATTATTTTTATAATTAATAAGTACGTCCATCAATGCCTGAAACAACTGCCCTTGGTGCTGCCATGGCAGCTGGTCACGCTATAGGTGTTTGGAATCTGGAGAACGAGGACACAAAGGTCACTACCGACATATTTACATCGTCAATAACGGAGTCAGATAGAGATGAGAGGTTCTCTAGGTGGAAGGAAGCAGTTATACGTTCAATGCACTGGGTGCCGTCTAGTGAACAGAAAGGTAGGTCATCAACAACATACAAAGTCATTGTATTTTCAATTTAAAACAGTGTAAAGTGTTTGCCAGAAGTTATGATTATGTAGGCATTTATCATAGACAAAATATTTAATTTATGATTGAATGATTGGACTTGATGTATCTCAGAAGAATATACAAGTATTAAAGACAGATTTCAACAAAATGGCAAACATGTAGAAAATTATAAAAATAGATTTATATGGCTTCATGTCAATGAATTGGTTCTAAAAAGATGTTGTTGTCAATAATTAAATTGTTAGTGATTGATTTTACAAAATCAGGTATACATGTACTTTTTAGTATTGTAAAGGTAAATGAACATGAAGGCAGTGGAAGCATACTACTGAAATCTTGCTTTTATCAATAATTAGTTATAAATGATTACATGTTGAACAGTTTAAATCTTAACTTAATGAATTTTTTTTTTCTTTGCAAGCATAGACAGACCAAGGACATTATGGGATGGCCTGGCTGGAGGATATTTTATGTTTGGTAGCTTAACTTTATTACTTATTGCCAAGTATCTTCAACAAAGATGATGCTGTCTATATATAGGTGCCATATATTCAAATTGTGCTAGTCTATACACTAAATTAGTGACACTGTGTGTGGATATGTTCATAGGATCATGTTTGTATTGTTAGAAACAGAGGAATCATGCTCACAAGATCATGTCCATAGGGTCATGTTTACAGGATTATGTTCTCATGGCTTTGTTCACCATCAGGAGTTATTCATAGATAAGATCTTTTCGACAAGGACACAAATAATTTATGCATAACTGAATTAAGATCATAGTTAATACCAAGTGAGTTTTGGTGGTGAAAAATTCCTTGTAATTTAAATATCAGCATTAATGCATGTGTTACTTGAAATTTTTTTTACCTGTGTGATGATCATGTTTTTTGTATAAGATTTCTGAAAGTTGTCAACAAGAAGCTTCTCCATTAGCAATTCCATTTTATTATTTTGGTATGGAATGCCATGTAAACTAACAATGGACAGTGGTAAAGTTGAAGCAGATTTAGACCATTATACATTTTTAGAACAGTTTGTGGTTAAAAAATATCTTAAACACACATTATCATTTGTGAAACTCTTACACAGTATTGTTCTAGGAATAACACTGGCAGGTTGGAAACATTGAAAACTGAATTCTAAAAATGAAATTTTTTTGTTTTAAGAAAATTCAATCTGTAACTAGTTTCTTCGATTATGTGTTAAGGGTTCAGATAATGTAAATGAAAAATAATATTAACAACTATATTGTCCCTGTATTAACTGTGATTATGTTTATTGTTATAATTAACAGTGCTGTGATTATTTGTTGAATGCCTTTAGAACAATTATTTAGTTTATATGAAGTTTAGATATATAAACAATATGGGATTTAAGATATAAAAGATAGGAAAACAAATGTAACTTTCTTTATTTGTATTTAAATGCTTATTCAAATTCTGTATTTTTTTTGTCAAAAGCTTTTCATTTTTGGTGCTCAGTTGTAGTTTTTCAAACTGTACTCATTGGCTATTAGCTAAATCGTTATTTGCTTTTTGCCGATAAGTTGAGTTAGAGTGATTTAGTAATATATGTAAGACTTTACATGTATACCACTTTGTTTATGTTTTGCTACTGTTATGACAAATGATTTCACATTCAACTCTGCTTTCTTTAGGTGATAAGCATCTGACATGCTTTTAAACATTATTAAGCATAGGTTTTGCATTTTTAGCTTGACTGTTCAAGAATAAAGAGAATAATTGTTCTTACCAAGGCATCAGCATTATACTTTGGTTAAGTTTTTGCTTACAAATTGGTATTTCCAAAACTTCTGAAGGTAATTGGTTGAGATTTCACACACTTATTTAATAGCATAACATGTCACTGTCCGAGGCCAATAACTCTTAACATGGATTTTGACGGAATTATTGCACTTTTTTAACTTAGAAAATTCTACAAAATTCTACATTGTCCAGGCTCTTGTTTTACTATCAAATACTGAGAATAGTCAAGAATGCTGTCCTTCCAACAGCTCTTGTGTCTATGGCAAAATCATATCTATTTTTGTGCCTTTAATATTGTTTTATGTTTTTTGATAATTTTAAGATAGAATATAATGTCCTGTATCAAATGCATTATTCTCTTTGTAACTTTGAAATATAAGTAAATAAATGTGTTTTTATTGTTGAAAATATACATCATGTATAAATATGAGACAGATAGTTGTATGTTAGGGTTAATTGTTTGATAAATTTTCACTTGTTATTGATATGATAAAGTAGAAACATTGTTACATGTATTTATGGAATTAATATTTCAAACCAAAACTAGTACTTGTGTGAATTTTTCTACATAGTCACTACCAGTCGTTGATATAAATTATGTTCCTATATCACATTACACGTACACTTGCGGTCTTTCAAGCTAGTCAAGTTCGATATAGTTTTGTTTGTGTTTTTGGTCAGATCTTAAGAAATTGTGTTTGCAAATTGTATTTTGAATTAAGCTATTAAAATAAAGTAACACCATTTATGACTTATACAGATTTGAACATATTCATCAAAAATCAAAGGCATTTATAATCATTATAAGAAGCGTGATTTGTTTTATAATATCAAGGCTAATATTGATGTCTATTTTAGCATGTATTACAATGAAATTTCATTCTTGGTTGTGATATATAGACATGTTATATAGACATAATATGTAGACATAAGTCTTCCATTTCATGATCATGATTTGTAATGCTTGCAGTGTTTTTAAGTTGTTTTCTTTCTTTTAGAGTGTATAGCCTAGTAAATTAGTTAAATGAGCCGCATCAGGACAAAACCAACATAATGCGTTTGCGACCAGCGTGGATCCAGACCAGCCTGCGCATCTGCGCAGTCTGATCAGGATCCATGCTGTTCGCTATCAGTTTCTCTACTTGCTATAGGGTTTGTAAGCGAACAGCATTGATCCTGATCAGACTGCACGGATATGCAGGCTGGTCTGGATCCATGCTGGTCGCAAACCCATTATGTTGATTTTGTGATGACGCGGCTCAAATTAATTTTTCTAAAACTGTAGTTTGTAGACTATGCCGTCCTTGTTTAATCAATCATTGAATAGATTTGTTATATTTGAAAACCTGTACATGTTTCATACTATTGTTCTTGTAGACAAAAGGAGGTCAAAGGTCACTGCCTTACATTGATGTAGACTAAAAACTCTTTAAAAAAAAACAAGATGTTCTTATGTAAAAGTCTGAAGAAAAAATCTGTCTGTGTTGCTTAATTTAAACGATAATAATCTTTGTTAATTTCTCTTATTTTATTGAAGCATTTTAAATCTGTCTAATACTAGTTATGCTCTACATTGTTTTCACCTAAACAACAAACTTCTCACAGTGATTACTTCCCTTGGCAGATTGATCTCTGTACTGATAAGGGGAGATCACTGCATAGGAGATAGACAAAAATAGTGGCCAAGGAAAAATGTTGGAAAGAAAGCATTATGTGTTCTTTTTTAATGACACAGCATTATCAAAAGAAAAATTGTGTATAGGATAAAACAATTGTGTTTATAAATTAAGACTTATATAATAATTGAATAAAACTGGTGATTAAATTCAGAAATCTCAGAATAATCTAACAAGCATAATATGTTTTTTATACTGAAATAATATATTTTACCTTTTTTTAGTGTTGGCACAAAATTTATTGATGATAAGTCTTTTTTGTTAATTAGACAAATATGTAAAATTGTGATGTAATGATATAATATGTCTTTGATACAGTATTTTCTGGGCTGATAATATAAATATGAGCCGTGTCACGACAAAACCAACATAGTGCGTTTGCGACCAGCATGGATCCAGACCAGCTTGTGCATCCGCACAGTCTGATCAGGATCCATGCTGTTCGCTTACCAACTCTTTTAGAAGTAGAGAAACTGATAGCGAACAGCATGGATCCTGATCAGACTGCGCGGATGCGCAGGCTGGTCTGGATCCATGCTGGTCGCAAACCCATTATGTTGGTTTTGTCATGATAATATAAATATCAACAATAAACCCTTTGCCTACTGGTGGCAGCTGAGTCTACATATGTTAACAGTGCAGACTAAAATCAGTTGTCTTCTAATCATGGTCTGTACTGTTTACTATTCAGTCAGTATATATTTTGAATTTTCCCCCCTGAAAATAATGACTGGTTTTGTCTATGATGAAAGATGGACAAGTCCATTCAAGATTTTTTTGTGAGGTCAAGGATTACTGGTAAATTCACACATATTAATCACTGTTAGTTATTCATAGACACGATGTATGCTGTTATACTTGTACTAGGAACTATTGTTGTATATTTTTATATTTTTAACCTGTTAATTTGTATTCACTCTGTACACAATATTGGAAAATAAATAAATATAATTTTTTATCTTTTTCATATTTTTCAGACAGGTTAGGTTTTCATTTGAAATTATGGTAACTATGTTCTGGTTTTTGAACAAACTAATACTTGTCATAAAAAAGGACTGGTCTTCCATGAAAAATATCTGTTTTAAGAATACACAAGTAAAAAATGGCAGCATAAGCTTGCTGAAAGTAACCAATAGCAACTAACTGTTTTTGTGTCGCCTTGAAAAAGGCGACATATAGGGGTTACTTTTGTCAGCGTCCCTTTAAGCTGGTCCAGAGCATAAGTCAGTCATTATAAGTTGGATTGACTTCAAACTTGGTATGCATGCTTCTTATAATGACCGGAAGTGCAGTGCACAAGAACCGGTACTCTGCACTTCCTTATTTTTGAGTTATTGCCCTTTGTTAATGTTACTTTATTTTTGTCCTGGCCATTTCTCCTAATGTATAAAAGCTATGGACTTGAAACTTCATAGGATGATAGATCTCATTAAGAAGAAGTGCAGTGCACAAGAACTGGTACTCTGCATTTTTTATTTTTTGAGTTATTGCCCTTTGTTAATTTACATACTATATTTTTGTCCAGGACAATTCTCCTAAAGTATCAAATCTATGGTCTTTAAACCTCATACGATGATAGATCCCATTAAGAAAAAGTGCAGTATACAGTAACTGGTACTCTGCACTTCTTATTTTTGAGTTATTACCCTTTATTAATTTTCATACTTTATTTTTGTCCAGGCCATTTTTCATAAATTATAAAAGCTATAGACTTGAAACGTCATAGGATGATAGATCTTATTAATAAAAAGTGCAGTGCACAGAAACTGCTGCTCTGCATTTCTTTTTTTTTGAGTTATTGCCCTTTGTTAATTTTCATATTTCATTTTTGTCCTGGCCATTTCTCCTAAACTATATTGTTCACAAGGCGACACATCCGACTCGCGGAGTTCTAGTGATAATTATGTCACCAAGAACCTGATGTCAACAAGTACCTGTTGTCCAATTATACACTTACATCCAGATGTTCAATGTTACTTTTTAAATACCACAATGGTGCTTTTGCTCAGAGGTGAGTTGCAATGGCAATGTGTCACTATTGGCAACAATTTCTCTAAATAAAATCACTAAAGCAAGACGTTGGATTTTAACCGAAATTCAGAGAAAAGATCCTTATGTGGCCCAGTACAAAAAGTTATATACATTTTGTAAATGGTCCCAGTTTGATGCATACATATGTAGATCATAAGAACTGAAATAGACTTTTAGAAAGTAATCTTTAAAATTTTGTCCAAAATTGCTTTGCTCAGCGCCTGTATTATATAACTTGAAACTTGTTTATTTAATTTAATGCCTTTTATGATAATAAATGTACCCTATGGCGTTGAACACAGTAATATTAAGTAATATAAAATCAACAACAATACAATAAAACAAACGATGTTTATTCTGATGACATATATAATTATGCTATATTTAACAACTAAAATGCAATTCTGTGAAATAAAAATAATATATTATATTGTAACTATAAAACATAAAAAAATCTAAAATATTGTATCAGAAAACTCAAAATGAAATACTTGGTGTTCTCCCTACCACAAAACGAAAATGTTGAAATACACAAATTTACAATTTCATAACTATACTGCATAAAACAATATGGAATAGTGCAAATCAAAACCATAAAGGCCCTCCCTCCGGTGGTCCCCAACAAATATTATAATTAAAAACAATGCCACTGACGTCAAATTTGGGTCACTTTTATATAATTATACTTATACTGTGAAACAGAAGTGATTTATTTGGCTAAATGGTCCCGTCCCCGGTGATAGCTTAGTTTATTATAAACTTACATGTTCTATATAGTGCAATTCTCTTTTTGTGAGAGCTTAAATATTTGGCATGTAGCATTGCGTAGCGGTCGATCATGTACGCTTTTCTTTTTAATTTTGCAGTTTATGTCATAATTCACACGTCCAGTGTGTCTTCATCTGTTTATTTAAATGAAATGAGCCGCGTCATGACAAAACAAACATAATGGGTTTGCGACCAGCATGGATCCAGACCAGCCTGCGCATCCGCGCATCAAGATCCATGCTGTTCGCTTACAAACCCTATAACAAGTAGAGAAACTGTTAGCGAACAGCATGGATCCTGATCAGACTGCGCGGATGCGCAGGCTGGTCTTTATCCATGCTGGTCGCAAACCCATTATGTTTGTTTTGTCATGACGCGGCTCATTTCATTTAAATAAACAGATGAAGCTCAATTTTTAATTATTAGGCAAATAATACCTACGTAACTTGAGGCTGCTCTTATATTAATTATATATACCTACATATCAGGTATAGTGTTTTATAGACGCGATGCATTATACTGTTTGATACTATACAAATTGCCTCATTCTAGATACGCGTCTGTTTGTATCGTTTTTAAAAAGATCGTTGAATATTATTAGTTATGCTTCATATAACAGAGGGCACAAAAATGGCGACCTGTGTTAGTCCGTTAGTTGGAGCGGTTGATCAAGGAACGAGCAGCTCCAGATTTTTGGTATTTCTTTTCTTTTTTATTATTGTTAAGATCCCTGTTTTGTTATGTTCATTTGTATTGTGTTTTTAAAAAAAGTAGTCATTGATGTAAAAAGTATGTCAATATGGCACGCTTATATAAAAGCAACAATACATTTCATGTACATTGTACAATTATATTGCAGGTATTGTATATAATTGGTCTGTTAATTAACAGTCGAAAAATACACGCTAATTTAATTTTGTAATAATCATAAAGGGCTTATTTTAAGAGCTTTATTTTGTTTTAAGAGAAGTTTAAAATCATTAAAAAAAGTTTACATGGCTGAAAATATGTACACACGGTATAAGTATGTCACTGAGGTTCATAAGATCTAGGTTAAATTAAGATGCAATTCAGTAAATTCACGTTTATCTTAAAGTCTGCATATCGACGTTTAAAAAGACAAATACTAAATGGCTGGCAATATTTTATTGACTAGAGGGCCTTTAAGCCTTAAAAATGCTTTTTTTCAAAAAGCTTTTTCATCTTTGTTGGACCCTGTTACAGTTTCCAAAAATTAAACAACAACAACATAACTTTTCATTTAGCTGGGCCATCTTAAATTGTGTCTTTGACATTTTTGGCAATAAGTACAGTTATAATGATTTAGTATTTTGTATAGAAGTCAAAATATTACGTCTCTTGAATCACAAATTATTTCACATTCAGCGCTATTTTCTTCAGATGATAATCAGTCTCCATGTTCTAAAGCCATTTTTACAACATTTTAAAACATTTGTAAATTTACCTAATCTTACCAGTAGTGCATAATGTTTTACCATTTTGATTTATATTTTATTAGATATTTTCGAGCAAAGATTCAAAGGTTGTAACATATCACCAGGTTGAAGTACAACGGAAATGTCCACACGAAGGGTAACTATGAAAAATGATGCCTTTCGTCAGTTATATACATGAACAAAGTGTTTTGAAATTTAAAAAAAAAGTGTTGTTAAGAAAATCGTAATATAAAATGCATTTTTATTTCATAAAATTCATTGTTCTTGCACTGTAAATTCTCGCTATTGTTCAATTATATACGTATTTTGTCAGTAGCTAAATCTGTGCTCACACATGTGATGTTTAAGGTGGGTGGAGCAAGATCCTGTAGAGATATTAGAATCAGTGAAGACATGTATTGCTAAAGCTGTAGACAATCTGAAGGCTCTAAACATCAGCCACACTGATATCAAATGTAAGTATAGATATAATAGCATACATCAGTTATCATAACAAACATACTTGAACGTATTATCAATATCTGACTCAGTCTCCAGATCTAATTCTATCAGATCTAAAAGTTACTGGCAAAGAATATGTCACAAATAAGAATTGTTAAACACCCAGAGGTAGCATCGAGTAAGATCTACATCACATGATGTAAGCTGGCCTATGTCCGTCGTGAAAATAGTTCAACCTCGGTTGGCTCGAACTACCGATCTCTCGAACAGATTTGCACAGGCCCTCCGAGTTCGAGATAACGAAGTTCGACTGTAAGTTATTTTTTGTATATATCGGTAATCACAATAGATGATTTTAATCGTTTGAACGTTTCTTGTTTTTTTTAGGTATCGGAATAACATCACAAAGGGAGACGACTATTGTCTGGGACAAGTTCACTGGACAGCCGTTATACAATGCTATAGGTATTATGTCATTACAAAAGTTAAACCAATGAAACTACAACAATATTAAGAGTGATATTTTAAGTTGTAAGTAAAACTTAATCATGCCAAAAATAAAACTTTGTCACATAGATTCTAACAATTGGTGGCATTCATTTGTTTTCCGATAAATTTAAATGAAAGCCCTTTTTTTGAGAACTAAACCATGCGCTACAAGTCATGTCAGTAGACTCCTTCCTATGTTTCGTAACCATTAATGGCAACAGTGTGGATTGTGGAAGTGTAGAGTCTCACCAATAGTGAGATTCTGAACCTATGAATAGGAATCGGATGCTCTATACCTACACATGACACCACATTTCCTTCATTTAGAACTATTTCACCCGAATAATCATCTGAATAGTAAATCGAATCTAATGTCGCTGAAGATTTAAAGTCAAAACTGTTTTACTATAATATTAAATTGTAGTTTCCGAATTCAATAAATTATCAATTATAAAATTACAAGATCAAACAGAATATAATTTATGTGACAATGCTAGAAACTGGGAAACAAGTAAATAGATACAATAACATAATTTTAGTTTGGTCAGATATGAGAACAGGTGTTACTATAGAGAATCTCATCGCCAAGACAACAGAGAAAAGCCAGGACTATACCAGAGTATGTCATTCCCCACGTATATCAATCATCTTGTTGTAGTAGTATAATTAACTTGGTATCATATCAATTTACTGCAATATGCCATACTTCTAATGACCCGTTATTAAATCTTTAGTACTTAGTCTAGCATATTAATTTAGTTTCTTTAGTTCCTTTTCTCAAATATTGTTTTGCATTTTGATAAAAAAAGCTTCAATACCCTCTATATTCCTCTAGATACTGCAGCTAATTCCAAACTGCACATCTTCTTGCCCATTAAGCTTTGAAATTTATGTTCCTGAAAATACTTGTAACAAGATCGCTATTTTATTTTCTATCAGCAATTTTGCGGCGCTCCGCTTTCGAGCGACTTCAGTGCTATACATTTAAATTGGTTGCTAGACAACTGTCCAGCTGTTGTCAAGGCGATTGATGAAGGAAGATGTTTGTTTGGAAATGTAGACTCATGGTTACTCTGGGTACGTTTATATATTTGTACTCTGATTCTTGTTTGTAATTTGATACTAATTGTTTCTCACTATTCTTTCTTCATCTTCAGTCATTTCAGTCGATAAAAATGTTTGAAATGCTTACACATAGATGCATATTTTTAACATGAGAATTTTTATTCCAAAATTTATATGGCTTTACAACCATGTTGTCTGTGACGTTTGGTGGATTAAGCTAGTCCTCCCTCGAACGTTCAATCATTTTTGTTGCATGTTCATTCTTAATGTATTGTACGGCGATCATTGTTCGGTGCCCTACTGGTTGCTTTACGGTGTTCGGTGCCCTACTGGTTGCTTTACGGTGTTCGGTGCTCTACTGGTTGCTTTACGGTGTTCCTGCACCCCGTATACGGTGCCCTCCCTTATGTATACATTGTTTTTCTTAGAAGTTTTAGTTCAGCAATTTCAGAGCATTTGGGTCATTATTTTTTCAGAATTTGACAGGAGGAAAGGACGGTGGCAAACATATCACAGATGTTTCATTTGCCAGTAAAACACTTCTGCTGAATATACACGAGCTGAAATGGGATGATCATCTGTGTCAGTGAGTAACTACTTGTTTAGTTCAATAATGTCTATATATAACAATATATTAAAACATTTGAAATTCAGTACAAAGTGATACATTAAACGAAAATTTAAATGGTTGAACAATATGGGAATTTGGGCGTTACAGAAATTCAAGAGGGGTCATGAGTAAATTTTGATCGACATAATATGATCTAGTGAAACAGTACATTGAAATTAAAGTATATTTCTCCTAAATCAGGTTCTTTGGTGTAGATAAAAATATTTTACCGGAAGTGAGAAGTTCTGCTGAAGTATATGGACACATATATGATGGTCCTTTGACAGGCGTGCCGGTATCGGGGGTGAGGTTATTTTGTTGTTTTTAATGTTTTTGAGCAAATTTAATTGTAATGTATTCCAAACTTGCGAATAATTTCATGACATGCGCATAGCGTTTAATGATTATGCCACATATTTAAAACACTGGATTGGCAAAATACCCCTGTTTGTTGATGATCTTGAATGAATATAACTAAAGTACCAATGTATAACTGACAATCTTGAATTGATATATAGCTATAATTCTACAAACTGCCTTTAAATAAATTCACTCTATTAACAATAGTTCGGTTTGAACATCACTCCTTTAATATTTCTTTATAATAATTTTGTACATGTATCACCCGCCAAAATAGTATTTGCAGACTTCAACCATATTTCCATTTTTGAATACATTGTCTTGAAGTAATACACCTATAATAATGAATATTTACCAGATTTTTCTTCCAGATACTAGGAGATCAACAGGCGGCAATGGTGGGACATTCGCATTTCAAACCTGGCCAAACGAAGATAACGTAAATGTTTAGTTAAATTTGACTTTCGTTAAGTCTTTTAAACATAAAAGAAATAAAGATAATCGATGTGCTTTACATGTAAAGACTTTGATGATTGAGTTATAGTAAATAAGAAGATGTACTATAAAGACTAAAAGAATGCCAACTTTTCAAGAAAATACACCAGACACATATGAATTGTTTGTGTATCTTTTAACAAGCATAAATATTTCACAATTCTTGAAATTATTAGTATTACAGAGACTCAAATTAGGAAATTTATCATAATTATTGAATATTTTAAATATCAATATTTAAACTTTTACCTAGTTTCAATTTATATACAATGTATAAGACATTTTTCTAAGATGCGGTATAATTTGTCTGACGTTCTGTTTTTACACATTTCAGATATGGCACAGCATTGTGTCTGTCTATGAACATTGGACAACAGGTTTAAATGATCATATTACAAAAATATTTTATCTACAAATCATAGAAGTAATATAGACCCTTTATTATCTCTTCTTATTCAAGATACTCGTACCTTTGAGTAAATATTTTAACTACAATTTTACAATACACAACCCATATATACATATTATTTATATTCTTCGTAAGACAAATGGTCCTATATCCTTCCGTTATAAAAATTAGTAAACATTTTTTAATAATGACTTGGAATGCTTCTGGAAAAACGTACGTATATTCTAGGCAATTTTATCTAAAAGTGGATTATTGACATGTGTGGCTTATCAGTTAGGACCAAACAAGCCGGCTGTGTATGCTTTTGAGGTAAGATGCCAAAAACATTAGTCATTCGATCTTCAATTTTCTTTATCTTTTATGGAAATGTTATATTATTCATTCACGCCCGATTTCTAATATTTTTTTGTTCCATTCGTCGTGTCTTAAATATTATAGGCACACCCCTGTAACACCGCACTTTGGAGTCAAACGCACTTTGGGGTCCGACCCCAAAGTGCGTTAAACTTCGCACCGCACTTTGGGGTCAAACGCACTTTGGGGTCAAAATCGAAAAATTGACCCCAAAATGCGTTAATATGCTACATTTCAACGCACTTTGGGTTCCAGAGGTCTAAAGGTGTAATCTGAGTTTTGCTTAAATACTGAATACTGACTTATTTTCGATCTGCGACATTGAAATATTTGAGGTGGAGTTCAAGATGGCGGTCAATACTTTGATGATGCTTAAGTGATAAAAGTTTCATTAATTTTACCACTTGAAATATACAAAAATTGTGTTCATATAACAAAATAACGGTGGCATAAAAGTGACATTTGCATTTTTTATTTAAGTTTTGCATACATATTTTTATTCAAGTTTTGCATCGATCCCCCGAGGGTTAAAAATAACATTTTAAAGGCCCATTATGCTTTTATTTGTTTTTCTTAAAAGCTTTTTTATTTTGATGTTCTTTTATATTACTAGTATCAAAAAAATACACATTAGCCAATTACCTAATCCATCTTTTTCATCTGTTGCTTTTTGAAAACGATGCGTACAGTTATAGTGAATAAGTATTTTATTTGGCAGTCAAATACTACATTGTTTTGACAACTTTTATTACAAATAATTTCACATTTATCGCTACTTTATTAGGGTAACAAACATCTTACATTTCTCTGATACCATTATTTTAACATTATAAAATTCATGTTTGCTCTTTCTAAAGAATTCCCATTAAAAAGCCTCTGGCGAACGGTTGTTACGGAGCTTACAAAAACCCTTAAGTTTGTTGATAAGCTTAATAATATATTTGTAAAAATCACTATTTATAGTCTGATCTAAAAACTTGATGTTTCACCAGAACCTTGCAATAGAGTATATTTATAGTTCTTTGGAAAAAAATATTAACTGCATTTTATTTCATTCTCAACATATTTAAAGTGGGGCTCAACATGGCACCAAAAGTTATCAAGTAAATGACTGACAGAACGGGATATTTTTCGCAGCATCTTTTAACTTTAGGAATACACAATTTCTGTACTAGAGTTTTTTGAACGGTGGCATAAAAGTGACATTTGCAACTTTTTTTGTTTTTGATTTTCAAACACTTCGCCATCGGTAAATTACAGTACCCCATTTGCAAACGCCATTTGCAAATACCAACATTTTCATTTTTGGAGGTATCAAAATGATAACAACACTTTTTAGTATATATATACATGTACATTTATATACATGTGTATATATATATATATATATATATATATATATATATATATATATATATATATATATATATATATATATATATATATATATATATATATATATATATATTTTCTAAATCAGTGGAATATAAGGACCCTTTTAGATGTTTTATTGTGCATTATTGTAATACACCAGTCATTTGTAACCACCTCCCTTGACCCCGGGGGAGTTCGGGTTAAAATAGAATCGTGTTTTAATGTCTGCACTGTTCCGGGACATAAGGCAGGAATGTTATTATCTGGATATCCCCCGTAGAGCAAAGATTTTACCAGTGGTCGGCTTGGTTTAAAGTCAGTGCCCCCCCGCTATTCTCAGGGGTTGAGTGGTGCATATTCATGGAATAATAACTGATCACCAATCAACAGCCCTTTCCAAATAGACACTTATATGATAATATATAATAATAAAAAAAAAAAAACAATAATTATATAAAATACATATTAAAGCCGCATCTACACCTTGTCAAGTTTCTTATGTGTCACATTTAGCTAAATAAATGGGTATTTTAACATATTATCATGCAAATTTTTTACTGAAATGTCTAAATAAGATTATCCAGAATTTATACCTTTGTCTATGCTAAGACTATCATATTTCTGTAAAATGTGTAAATAACAAACGGGAAAATGATGCATTTAGCTAAAAACAATGGAGTTAATGAAGGGTGTACATTCTTTTAAAATAAATGGAAAAGTTGAGAAAAACATATTTTAAGCTGAATAATTGATACAAATTCTTTATTTGGTGATTTATTTAGTGAAAGTTCTTAACTTACTAATCAAGACCATTTAAATCCCTATTGATTCAGGGGACATGTTTTGTGTCTATTTAATACCTTGATTTTTGTTTACCATTGTTTACCATATTTAAAACATAATGAACATAAATTTACTCTGACCCCAAAGTGCGGTCGTTTGCCTGATGTAAAAAAACGCATATGTACCTGTTTAACGCACTTTGGGGTCGAAATTGAACCCCAAAGTGCGTAACGCACTCTGGGGTTGGACCCCAAAGTGCGTTTGACCCCAAAGTGCGGTGTTACACACCCCATCTAATGCATATAAAAAAATCGTCTCAAATGATTTTTTTTTTTTTGCATTTTAAAACATTTCTAATCTGATTAAAGTTATGTATTTGGTTTATTTGGACAGGGTGCAAGTCTTACTGCAGGTTCGTGTATTAGATGGTTGAGGGATAATGTTGGAATCATACAGTCAGCGGAGGAGATAGGTAAACTATATACTTATACCTATGTGATACAGAATAAAACCGTACAATTATAATTTTAGCTCTACTTTAAGAAGTAAAATGTGCAGTTATTGTCATGACCCTCTCGCCGGCGTCGGTGCCGCCAACAACGGCGTTGCTAAACCTTTTCGTTATGGCCCTATTCTCAGAAACGGTAAAAGCTATTCACTTCAAACTTGATTTACATGTGTAGTATTATTATTTGTTTCAGCTCAGTTATTTCTACCGTGAATTGGTTACATTTGTTTGTTTAAAATGAATTTTTATAGGGAGATCATCTTTCAAGCCATTTAAGCTTAATAATTTCCCTGTTGATTTAGATTTTTTTGTCAAAACCGATTACAGGTATTTACTTCAAACTTAAAAGATTGTTAACTATCTAGAAAAGGTAAGTCTGCTAGAATCATGCAGTAAAGTGGAGATTGCAGGTATTGATAATCCAAACTATGTTGTCTACAAATATATAAAATTTGATTCTTCTAGAGGAGTTGGCGATGAAGGTAGATGGTTCGCATGGATGTTACTTCGTTCCGGCGTTTTCTGGTCTATATTGTCCTTATTTTCAAAATGATGCCCGAGGGTAACTACTTATATTGTCTTATTCCTTCGATTATATTCGTGCATGCAGACATTGTACTTTCATAAAAATTAAATTGCAGTACGCTTTGTTTTGTTTCAACAAGGTATCTTTCGTATTTCGATCGTTAATGTTAATTTGAAACACACTATCTTATTTTTTCTCAGTTGTTTCTCAACCATTATATTAGGTAGTATCTTGTCAAGTTGTAGTTCATGATAGTATTAAAATTTCAGAATTATCTGTGGCATTAGTCAACATACAACAAAAGAACATATTGCCCGTGCCGCACTGGAGGCAATTTGCTTTCAGACAAAAGAGGTAAATGTTATCATTTTCGTTCATTTGTTAACATAGGTAGAATTGTCTCTTTCTATATACACTGTACTCATAATTATATTCCATATGAGCATATATTGATATCAATCTAGTTTTATTCATGTATTTGCAAATCCAATATATTTTTTCTCAGTTGCTTTTTAAAAACATATACACTTACATTACAAAACATACATTTGATATTTGATGTTCAAATCTTATTTTGTTGTTCATTTATATCTTCAGCATTTCTACTCTGGTTATGTGAAATCAATATGTAACTACTGACGGATTAATGGATACATGTAAATCCATATTTATAACTGTTGTTTCGGTTAACAAACAGCGGTCTGTGGTTCGATTTGAGTAATAATTAGACGAAAAGCTGAAATACAATTAAAAGGCGACAAAAATTATAAGCTCTGCCCCTGCTTTTCCAAAATTAACGGTATAGGCGATCTCAATACTTTATTTTGTCAATATAAATTGTCGTTTAAATCTAACCATAAATCTGCTATTATATAAAGTGATTAGCATTTGTCGCTGGTATAGAGCCAGGTCAGCCTGACGTTACGCAGTTTAACCAGGCTCTATACTGTTTGTAGATCCCTTAAACTTTGAATGAACTGTTTGTTCCAAATTTAAAGCATAGTAACTCAATTACACAGATTCAGCAGATTAAGGGTTGAGACTGATGACTAGGTTGTTACAGGTTGTGGATGCAGCCAATGCTGACATTGGTATGGATATGCAGTGTGTACAGGTAGATGGAGGTATGACAGCCAACAATCTTCTCATGAAACTATTAGCTGATATAATCGGAACAACTGTTGGTAGGTGCCCTCAGTGATAATATCTTATAAAATGGAAGTATCTTATCAATTTATTTAGTTCCAAACAGAATATATATCAAAGTGAACAAATTATGAACACAAAATTTGGCATTCTTTTCCAGTAGTCTAAATTGATTCCTCATTTTGCTAACGGGTTGTTACTCTTCAATTCATAAAAGAACGTGTCTGTGCTCTAATAAAATTCAGAATTTGGGGTTATATTGTCTAATTTTTAAACAACTTTTATTGTGGGTTTTTCATTTCAGAACGTCCAACAATGCAAGAGGCGACAGCACTTGGCGTTGCTATGGCAGCAGGATATGCTATTGGGATATGGGATCTAGACGTTGACAACCGTAATGATAAAATAGATGTTTTCAAACCTACAATCTCAGAAAAGGAACGCGCGAAGAAATTTAAGAGGTGGAATGAGGCAGTGAGCCACTCTATGCATTGGATACACTCTGACGAACAAGATGGTGTGATATCAAAATTCCCTTTCAATTCTTAAAACTATTGATTGTCTATCTTTTATTTTGAATATATAATGGATTAAGCTTAAAAAATAATTTGAAAATAGTTGAAGTATTGTCTTTGATCTTTAAGATATCTAAACCTATAGAGACATGGTAACGAAGTTGTAAAATAAGTGATATGAAATAAATATTAAAACAATATTACTTTTCGGCAACACACATAATTTAGAAATGTGTATAATTATGAACCCGAAGAAGCTGTAAGATGAAATATATTTGTATTGGTATTGTCTTGCTATTAAAATGAGACTGGTTGATTTTTAAAGAATTCATTACTTTTGAGCTGAATTTATATTCCTTGTTTCAGAATGAGGCTTGAAGACGTTTTAAATACTTGAAATTGGGAGTATACTTGTACAAATAGTATACCAGGATAATAAACATGTAATTTGAAGAGCATATTTCAGACTTTTAAGAGGCAAGTGATGTGAAGCCTATCTATTATATAGACATGATGTATGACTGGTATATCAACAGTGAATATAATGATTATAAAAACATATTTTTAAGAAACACAATTCTTATATGTTTACATTTATGTAATGTAAGACATATATTGAGATAAAGTAGTACGTACTATATTGTGTCAGATATTTGGACATAATCTGTCTATAAACAATACAACATGTACCTTCATTTACTATGACAGGTGCTGAAATTAACATATATAATATAACATACATGTAATATATAATTCGTTTAATAAGGAAACAAAATATTAAGTGTGCAAAGCATTTTTGTTTCTCAGTTCAATCATTTCCAAATTGATAGAAGTAGCGATGGGTTTCAGTAAAAAGCAAAAAAGGAAAAAAAAATAAAAGAAAAAACAAACAAACAAAAAACAAACAAACAAAAACAAATTATAATAAAAATTGCATCAGATAATATAACTTACAAATATGTCTTTAGCGGGAGTGCGGTATTTCTTATTAAATTTCAAAAGTTGGTACAAACGATAATTTAAGTCTATACGAAATATTTTTTTAATACAAAGTACTTTAAGAAAATATCCACAAGCAATGACGATCTCATTAAGGTTAAGAGGCATTCAGCTCCTAATCAAACGTGCGTCAATAGTATTCTTGATATTGATTACTTAATATTGATCATCTAAATTGCCTAGAAAAATCACAATCATTTGTTCCAATCAGATATTATCTACAACAACACCATTGCTTATTGTAAAATCTTATCATTATATCGTAAACTATTGACATTTACATTACTCTGTCTGCGTAGGTGAAAATCTCACAGTTTGTATATAAATATCTTAATATGGTATGAATTTGTAGTGTTTTATGGTTCCTGAATGAACAGAACAAACTGGCACATGTAAATACATATGTTTATTTCTTATCTTTCTAAATGTGTGTCTTCTTTAAAAAATGCATTATCAGATTTATTTAAGTTAAATAAAGAAATACACTAATTTACACAGTAATGAATGTAAAGTATCTACCATTATTCAGTTTTGATAAGTATACGTAAGTATAGACAGGAAAGTTTTGAATATATCTTTCTACCGTAGACCATTTGTTTTCATCATGATTTCTGGTAAATTTCTGGGCTATTCGCCGTCCCTTTCATCAGTTTTTGTCGATGTGCTATACCATTACTAAGCACCGATTATCTTTTATATCAACTATACGTCTTGTTACATAAATACTGTATTAAAATAAATCATATCAATTTCATACAAGAATTTACAATTAATGTAATTTAATTATAATCATTATTATCAATATCATTATTGTTATCTGTCCATAAACGAGAAGGAAAAGCAACACTCATTTTGTAGCACCAATGAAAAACAACTATGACAATAAATTGTACTAAGTTGTGCATAACTGTCACTGAGACCCACTGATTGCAAAGGACCTGTAGCTAGGATATAGAACTTTAGCCGGTGCTAGGGGGCTTGGCCGGTAGTTTGCACATAACAGTACCGTCCGTGAACAGACTCAATCAAACCGAGCCTTCAACATTTTACAATTTTGCCGTGTTGGGCTTTCTTTAGGGATTTTTCTCTATTTTGTGAAGAAAATAACTTTTGCAGCTTTGCTATATTGCTATATACATTATTTGATTTGCATGAATCCATGTAAAAAGAATATGCATTTTTCTCAAGAATTATACATATGTTCTGTAAGATATATAGTATATACATAAAAGAACATAATAATAAAATGGCATATTCAAATGCAAGACGTGATCCACAGGAGATGACCAATTTTCAAGCAATAATATGATAATAAATAATAATAAATACCACATTTATATAGCGCCCTTTTCATTAAAATGTTCAAAGGCGCTTGATGTCACATACGGAATGCCATAGGTTTGTTAGATAACAATTACACATGTTTCAACTGTTTTAGACCCCATGGGATTTTTCTTCCATTATTTTAATGGGTAGACATTTTGTAATGACAATCGACACGAAAGCAGTATATATCTATTATCATTCTTTCGAGCGTTTACTACATACAAGGGGTGTTCTAAAATTATGTCAGTTTTGCCTTATATTATGAAAATTGTGGTGATCGAATGAACATAAATCTAACTCGAGTCAATAAGGAGTCACCCAGTTCATTCAATCAGAGATGTTATTTTACCAATCCTTAAGGACATAATGGTTGTGTTTGTGGTATTTTCATTTTTTTCTATTTGATCTGTTTTCTACAATCTATTAATTGGATAGTTCCATTATTTTTAATTGAATAATGATTTATCTCCCTTAGGATATGTTGCCTGATTTGTATATCTTTCACATCTGTGATACGCAGGCTACATAACCTCTGATCCGCTACCAAAATTCAATTTTATTTTGTTTCGTCCATTTTTTTCACGTTAAGGACACACGCATACTTAAACCTTGGGGTCATTGACCACTTTTCATGGAATGACATGAACTTGTCACATAGTAAGCTCCATGATCACCGCCGTATGAAAACATCTCCGGATGTTTTAAAATTCCAAATGACACAATAACGTGAATAAGCCGGTGATTTGGGGATATGTCATGGACCGTTGGCATTTACCACTTCCGTCCATGACTTATTTGTGGAACATCCCCACTACAATTAAGCATTAAATGTCGGTCATTGTGATGCAAGTAGACTATTTGTAAATTTGAGATATCAAATAGTTGAAGATTTAACACATACATAAATAAACCAAGTTTTATTTGAGACTACAAATTCAATATAAAGCATTTAATGCAAGTTGGAACTTAAAATGATGCAAGGAAAGCATTTACAGCAAAAAAGACAACAACAACAAAAAACGATATTATCATAAATTGGACTGAAAATTACATTTCAATAGCTAAATAGGTGTCTTAAATCGATGTATTGTGAAAAGCCTGAACTTTTGTTATAAAAAGTGACATTATGAGATAAAAATTCCGGTAGTAAAATAACAATAATCATTAGTCGAATAACTGAAAAGTTGTATTAATGGCATGTTTCTTCCGTATGTAAATAGCGCAGATATATACCAACTTGCAGGTACTTTGTCCTTTGGAAAACACAATATAAAATTATGTATATTTGTATGAAATCAACCACAAAACCCGTCTTCGTTAAGGTATTTTAATCAACGTCATACGCTTTCTCGGCAGAACAAGCTTTTGTTTATATTACATGTAATACATATATGCAAACACATTTAAACAAATAGTAACACCCAAACTAAAATTGCTGCAAAGTGGTAGGCAAACACATCAATTAGACTTCATATACCTACTGGTGTACTAACATCCATAATTAGTAAAAAATGTTTCCATTTAAATTCTATACAGTAGTGTAATGATTGACAAATTAAGTGCAATAAAAGTTATACTTATTTCTTTATTTATCTACCATATATGGAACAAAAGACATAAATCGATTTAAGTTCTAAGTCTATGACATACAGCTTTGAGAAATTGTCTTGGAATATGTGAAACCTGAGGAATGTTTTGAATGGAATCATTGATAATAAAGGTCCAAGTGTAAGGTTTGATGAAAGGCTATGATTTTTTGAAACAGAACATAATTTTTCATTAATTTGATTTAACATAGTACATCATCATAATGAATATACAACATGATTTCTGAGTAGCAAGAGCATTTCAGTGCAATCAATTAACGCAACACATAAAGAGAAACGCTTATACATAGAAGCGATACAAGGGAAATGGTGAATCTGCTAATGATTTATCCCCAATCACTTTTCAGAAAAAAGTACAATTAAAAGAGTACCAGTTCTATTTAGATACAATCGTATACAATCATTTAGTAACGTTTGGTAACAACATATTATAGAAGTCGGTTATTGTGAATGCATTTGCAGGGAAATTTCCTTTCAAAGCGCTCAATGTACATCTATGTAGTGGCATTATCCATAGAGGCATACTGCATTACAATAAATAGCTTTTTTTTTCTCACGTAATGACGTTTATCGTTTTCCTAGCACTATTTCACCTGTAATGACGTTTCTGTAGTATTATTCAACCTTTAGGAAAGTATTGGAGTTGAACAGGAGATACTTTTTCTTAAGAAGACAACTGGGGACAGTATGTTAATAAAAAGAAATAAAATTACATTCCGATTGCTATACCGTTAAGTTATTTAGAAATATCACTGTAGGTTCCTAAAAAGTCAAACGGCACTTACACCTTAATAAAAACATCATGAATGTAATAAAATCTAATTTTGTAGTATCTACTTTTTATTCGTTTCTAAATATACATATAGCAAATGTGTGTGGATTCTCTTCGCAACACATATGATATGTTTTAATATATCTATGTAATTTAATGAAGTATTTTATTATTTACATGTTTCTCCTCATAAGAGCATGACTGTAATTGTAAAAGCATAGAAAGCTTACTCTGCGTTGTGTTTGTAATACGTCTATAAGTACTAGTATTGGTTTATAACAAATACAAATGTATCAAAATTCTGGTAAGGGGGTGTCACTCGAGAGCAATTAAGATAAATAGATAAAAAATACAAACTTGGTTATTCCTAAATTCAAAATTTCACCATTTTCGCGTTTAAATTCTGCTTGAGCCGGTGCTAGAGGGCGTGAACGGTAACTTGCACTTTCCAGTACCGTCCATGAACAGGCTCAATCAAACCAAGTCTGAAGCATTTTCAATTTTGCCGGTTGGACTTTCTTTGGGGACTCTGTTTATTTCTATTTTATTGGATCTGTTCATATGAGGTTACGAAAAACACGACTTCTCTCCCCACCCGCTAGGACCGGTTATTCAGTACTTAATCATTTGCACAAAATTTATTGTAATCAATGATCTTAAAGGACCAGAAAAAGTATGCGTTAGAGCATGGTGCAGCCAGGAACAAGGAGATTTACCGGGAACAATTAAATAGCTTATCGGTTTTATATACTTGATAATTTATAGACGTATGGTTTAATTTAAACAAAATTCCAAATTCTACTACTTGCTGAGCTTAGTTCAACGGGATTTTCATATATGATTTCTCCAATAATGATGTATGATACATTTGCCCAAAATTCAGATCGATTTATATGGAGGCATCATTGTTCCGCTATGAACCTACCTGATTATTATGTCATTGTGTTTATTTAGGTCTATATATATCAATGTTCACTTTTACAGTCTTCCAATATTTTGAACAGGAATGAACTGGATTTTTTCTGAAGGCGTAAGGTAGGTCACTCTTATGATTTTAGCAATTTTTAAGCATGCGCTTTTAAAAAATATTAATAAAAATTGTGAAATAATCAACATACTATGTTTATACATCTTTAACCTCAAAATGTCTTTTCTCAAAAAAACCATTTTATCAAAAACTGAAGGTATTTATTTCTTTACATATTCTTACAATGTATAGACAAAAACAGATAAGTAAACAAAAGTGATGTACAATATATTGACATGAATGAATAAAAGCTGTAAGTATTTAATTAACACATTTGATTTATCTCGAGTCATAGTAAAC